TATCCTGTATCATTCACTAATAAATAATTATTGCCTTTATTTAGGCATTTCATATACAGAACTCATGCAAATTACCTCAACTGAGTATTTAAACTATACAAGTGTGAAATATGCTGTAGCTCAGAAACAAAATCACTCATCTACCCTTAACTTTGACTCAATGGGAACATTACTGAGAAAGTCACAAGGTGACATCCTTAATGCATAATAATGACACATGCAGGAAATGCATCATTATTTATACATGTGACGTGCTGTAAATTGCTTCCATCATCAGAATAAATTGTAGTGATTATTAATGCAGTGTTATGAGCTACCAGAACTGCTGTATGTAATTACATTAGTGAAAATGCTTCATTACCTGCCTAATGAATTTGGCATATCTGCACATGTAAACCACTGGTTTTGTTAACATAATGAAGGGCATTTTTTTCCCCCTTAGCTACTGATGTGAAACTGGTTTGACCTATATTACAAAGTTCAAGCATCCACTGCCAGAAAATCCACCACACCCCCTTTGGTCGGGTTTATTTTCATACTTAGCAATGGCATTGTATAATGACAGCCACTTAAATAGCAGCTTCAGAGAAAGAATTGTGTCCCACTCATTCAGTACAAACAGCTGACTCAGTTGAAATAACCTTGGTGTATGGTTACCTGCCCACTGTTTCTTAGCTTCCTAGGGGTCTCTAAGTAGTTGCAGAGGACAGTCATACAGACAATGAGATCTCTAGCACTGAGCAGGTTCCTTTAATTCCAGCCCCAAAGGCCAAACTGCAGTCTCTCAGCAACATAATGTGAAAATAATGCACAGAAAGAAAAAAGGACACTTAAATTCCACTTCTCTGATGCACAATTCAAGGGTATCCTGTCAAAGACAAAAGGAATACATTTATCCAGTTAACAACTGGCAGCATTATTGATAGCTGTGCCTGCCTCAGCTGCTGAAAGGGAGCACTTATAAGTCTGGAATTTGAAGGAGAGTGTGAATCAGATTTCTTAGTGATCAGTGACTATTAGGCAGTATTTTCTGTAGCTCCCTGTAGTTTTCAGATACAGAAGTGTTGATGGGTTACCTTTTTATTTCCAAATGTCCCTTAGGAAAGGAGAACTGTTGTGCTACTGAAACAAATAAAAAAAAAACACTAGAACTCTATAGATATTACTCAGATAACCGCTATAGTTTCCTAGCATAAATCATCCATAGGTTTTATCCCAAGCTGCCAGTTTAACATTTATTAAAAAGCATACTATTCCTTCAAATTTTAAGCTGTTTTTTCAAAGAGTTATGTTTGAAATTTAAGTTTAATAATACTTTTTTCACCTCCTTTGTTTATAGTGTTAGTAGAGAATCTCAGCAAGATGAAATTCTGTGCAGGGCTTCATCTGGTTTTTAAATTACCAAGATGAACTAATTGACATTTGCCTATAAAACATGCAGAAATTAATTCTTTATTTTCTGACAGTTTCCTAAAGTCTGTCTTTTAGTTTAAGAAGTGATTGACATTACAAGGTGACTTTTGATGCCCTTAAAAACATAAATCTGTGGAAGAAACTTTAGAGGGATAAATTCATAGCTGTCAAAGGAAACATGTCATCCTGAACTGAACAACTGGTAGCAAAGCCTGCATAAAGGTGAAAAGTTTTACGTATGACAAAAACCCTTCTTAAATCAGAATCCTGAGTTTAACTGTGAAACACACAACACAAGTTTCTATGCTGGAGAAAACCACAAAACATTCCACCTGGATTGGGCATAGTTTAATTTTCTTATTACACCCCCTCCTCCTAAAATTAAGATACCTTAACCAGAAACATATTAATGATATTAAAGACAGTGTCTACATAGAAATTTGCTGCAAACAGTTATGGTTCAAAATAATGGAGGAGAAAAGAGAGTTCTCTAAAGAATCAAGCTTAGAAATTAGCTACGTAAAATACATTTATGATGTTGATATTATTTACATAATATTATATATATATTATTTATATTTTATACATTTTATATATATATAAATTTCTTGGCCTGAATTGGGACAACAGTATCTATGGATTGTCTTTATCAGAAACTTTGTCTAGGTTTTTCATGTTTCCATTAAAAATATTATTATAATAATTTAAAAAACCCATTGAAAATATTATTACAAAAAAGGAAGAAAATTGCTGCATTAATAGTTGTTTGTTTAGCTATACACCTACAGCCATTCTTCTTTTTATAGAAGTACCTTTCCAAATCCCCTCATCCACCAAAATCTATCCATTTCTAGCCAAGGTAGCTTTGACACAGCTGCTTTACTGCACAACTCTCTTTTTACTAGGCATTGATTAGCAGAGTTCCCTTCAAAATAAACTCTTACCCTTTTCTCTTACCCCAAGCTCTGCCTTCATGTGTCTTGTGCTCAAATAAATACATGTTAATACATTGCTGGAAGACTAATGTGCACAGTTACGGTTGCCTTCCTCATGGTCTGCTTTGCTGACATGAATAAACTGGCTAGTACGAAGAATAAACTTGAAGATTCTTAGCTCCTGCCATTTCTTGATATGTATTGAAACAGCAGAGGTGTCACCATCAGTCTCTAAAGTTTCAGGCTCTGATTCTGAAGCTAAGGAATATACTGGGGATCTGGGACTGTGGGTGTTTGCCCATGCAAAGATAAGCATAACCCACCACACACTTGGTGTCTACTCAAATTCCCTGTAGATCTGGGACCTAAGACAAAACATGTCCAATGAATGATAGGAGCAAGAATGAAGAACTGCTAGACAAAGAAAAATGTATACAGCTATTCTGCTACTTAAAAAAATATGTTTCAAACCACTTCAGAGCCTAATAATCTTTAATCTTCTTAAATTAAGAAGACAATGGAAAGTCATTGATAGATCAGAGAAGTGAGTTATAATGGAAAAGTATCTGCCTCCAAAGCACCTACCAGTGAAATATGGGAGTATCAAGAGAAAGGTTTACAGTGTGGCTGGGCTACAGCTGTTTTCATCCCTCCTTTAGCCCACACTTTTATTTGTTACAGTATTAGCACTTCAACTCAAATTGCAGCTCAGCCATGTAGTTTCTGTCTGGCTCTTCACTGCTGTGCCAGAACCTACTGATTGCACTGGCTTCCATCTCTGTGCAGTGCAAAAGGAATTACAACTCTATACACCAGCCAAAGAATAAAACATGTCAGTCATGCTCTGTCTGCTTTATCAAGAGACCAAATAAAAGTGTATTCCAAATTTGTTCCTTGACATGTGGAAAAAGGAATAGGGGAATAAAAAGAGAGGAAGACTTTCATATCACATCACATTACGTGTTATCAGCCTGGCGGTGCCTACATTTTCATATAGGCTGTATCTATCCACAGCAAAGTGGAAGTGATTCAAGCCTTAATATAATAACAAAACAACCATTTGATATATAAGGTCTCTGAGTTTGAGAAATTATTAAGAGTGATAGAAGAGTTAAACCTGTTACCAAAAGGTTTCAAGCCAGTCTTTTTCTGCGGTTTTGCTAACCCCTGTGCCAACTGGTTTTGCTAGATCTGAAGCCAAAGGAATTTTCAAAGTATGACCCAGGTCATTTAGAATAGCAGTTTTTTTAAAACATAATACAGCCCCTAGCCTCAAACAAAATGCATACTAAAATAAATCATCCTTTTGCTTCAGGATTTTTTTTTTTTTTTTAAACACAAACATGTAGGGCTTTTTTTGGACCAAACCCCTGAAGACTGAAGCTTGAGAAGCAGTGAGTACATCCTAATCCCCGTAGCTCCAGCTAGCCTAGCACCATTAGGGATTTGGTCCAACAGCTTTATTGGAATTTCCCCAGTCTTTTATTATCAAAAATATTCACAGCAAAACTGTCACCTCAGAACCCAGGCATAACAGGCAGGAAAATGGAGCAGGTCTGTGACACCAGACGCCTCTCAGGAGTTTCCCACGTATCCCTGTGGCTTCAGACACACAACACTGCTGATTCCCATTCTGCCACCTCCCATTTTTTTGCCCTGTCCCCAGAGCAGCTGAGAACTCTGAAATCCTCCTAAAACCCATCTCTGCTCTTTCCTTCACAGCAACATTTCTGTACTTGCTAACAGAAAAGGAGGGTCATTTTCAGACTGCATGAATAGCTTACTCATGGAATCTGGTTAAAGAAGTCTTCCAGTTTCACTGTTGATGAAGGAGTTGTTTGTGTCTGTTTGCACAACACCTAGCACACCAAGGCCCCTTGCTAATCCCTTGGGGGTTTTATTTCAGCTGGTGACAACACTAGCCCATCCCTTCATTTGTTGCAGGCAACTTGGTTGATAGCCAAACATCACTGAGGTTAAAATGAGGAGGGAATCACCCCACTCCCATGACCTCCTTAATATTAAGGCCTGGAACATGCATTTCTTGTTTGGCTTCAGGAGAAAGGGATTGCTACAAATGTCCATTGGCTATTTAGCATAAAGTGGTGCTTTTAGTAGCATTAACAACTGCAGTGTTCCTGCCTACTCCATCGTTGTGCCAGGAACCACAGCTCACCAGGGGATTGCACCGATCTTTGTGTGTGTTGCAGAGTGGGTTCTCAGTCCATGTAATGCTGGCCAAAGCTGCGGCTGCTATCTCAGAAAAGCAGTACTCAGGGTTAATTACACAGTATCCCAAGGGGGTGTCAGACCCAGTTCACTCAAGTCTCCACTATGGCCCAGTCAATGGAACAGGAACTCTTAATTATGTGGGGAAAGCATATGTGTGATGGCAGTCCTACTACCCACCAGAGGATTTCTGTTGTATCTCTCTTGCTCCTCCTGCGAGAGTGAGGAGTGTTCAGCAAAAAATGACATACATTTTATTAATATGTTTATCCTGTTACAGTCAAAAGCGAGAAAGAGCAAGATTATTTGTTGTTTAAAATGTTTACTCTAACCCACTGATTGTTTTGTTTGTGTTCTGGGAATATCACTCCAATTGAGGAGACAGTCCCTGTCAGAAGGGCTGTTTGACACTTGGAAAATAACTCAATGGTCATGTCGGGCAGCCTTCCTAGTTGCCTCCTCTGCAACCATCTGCTGGCCTTGTCCTAGAGAGACGTTAAAATCTTCCAGAGTCTACAGCGAACTCAAGTTTTTTGTCTGTAAAAGAAATAACTGGGGAAGGGTGAGTGACAGAGAAGGAGGAGACATAAAAATTTGCAAAGCTGAAAGGAAAAAGAACGATAATGCCCCCATTAATTTCACTATCACTTGTGCAATGCATATTACTTCTTCTGAAGCACTTCACTAAATCGTTACAGTTTCAACAAGCAAAATTGCGAGCTCTCAACAGTGGCCTTATTGCTGGTATTAGAAAAAGACTGCAGAAATCTGTTCCCTTGGTTTTAAGATAATGAACCTTTTGACATTTTGATAGATGCTCGGCATTGTTACTGAGCTTTAGAAACTCTTACAGGGAGTACATAGCAATTCCCTTATGAAAAAGAGAGCAACATGTGGTAGATATCACATCAGTTTTTTAACTGATTGGTTCAGTGGGTAAATGCACGAGCCCCTCACCTTGTGAGGTCTGAGTTTAAATTGAGCACAGTGAGGTCACAGCTGTATTAACCTGGTATTCTCACTATTGTCTGTGGGGAATAGTAATCCTAAGAATAAAGCCACAGAGCCCTATACAATTGAATATAGCTTGTATAATGACCATTATTTAGTCACAGGGGGCACAAGATTACATGAGCATGAAGAAAATTGCCCTCTGGCCCTCATCAAGTCAAAAGGTAGAAAACAGTACAAAGGAAACCTGCATTATGCCAAGCAGAGGAATAATACTTGGTCTCAAAATTTCTTCATACTATAGTGCTTATAGCCTTACGCTTTTCATCCACCGCATTTACCACGAATATGGGAGTGTGGGGTGGAGGAGAAACTTTAGAACTTGAATCTTCTGCTGAAAATAAACTGTGCCCAACTTTCCCATAGTAATGTATACTCCATTGTAGTGACAGATGATTCCAGAAGACTTTATTTTGTTTAGTAAAAATACACTTTTATGTGTGTATGAGCACATACACACAAGTATATAATCGCATATCAAATTACCTACATTTCCAGCCCTGCATGTTCCATTTCACTTTCAAGGTCAATTTTTCTTTCTTTAATGGGAAGCCAGCCGAATGATTCTTATGCAAGAAGCAAATAAGAGGCTTACTTAGTGATTCAATATCTTCAAGTGGGTCTGCTCCTGGAGACAAAATGAGTAAGATAGGAATGGCTGGACTACTCTCTTCATCGGATGCTGCGAAACACATCCTTGTGCTTTCCACGTATCTTGAGCCAAGCTTTTCCCCCCTAGAGTTCCTATACACATGAAAAAACATGCACTAAACACCAAAAACAGTCTCTGATACAGGCTTCAAGCCTTGAGCAGCTTCTCAGACTTGAGCAGCTGACAGAGATCGTCAAACAATCATTTCATCAACAAAATCGTCAGGGAAGTGAACTGAAGACAAGAGGGGAGGCAGGTGGTGAAGCAAGGGAGAAGAGTGTCATTCCCATTTCTTTGGGACAGGAGCCATGTGACAGAAAACAGCAACTTCTGAATGAGAAGACCTCTTCAGTAATTGAGTCCAGTAAGTCCTTATATGCAGGCAATACTGTCACATAAGGCTGGGCAAAATATACACTCAGGGTACAAAGCCTGCATTCTCAGAAGGCATGCACATGGATAAAAGTTGTGATGGTGGGGTGTGGAGGATCAGGTCTATGAGGCCATCACTTGGGATTAAAAGATCAAAACAGTACAACTGGAAAAGCTGGGAGAATATTTGTAAGTATCCACAACTGAATCTTTCATGGTGTAAGAGAATTTTCAGGAAGGGTATGTCAGTGACACCAGATAATGGTCCGTGGTGAAACACACAAAAATAGAAAAGTACTGTTTGTCACGGGTTGTGGGAATATAGCCTTGAAAATAGGGGAGTTAACACCATTGTTAGCAAAAGGGAGTCTCATACCAGTTGCAAGACACATGAGATAATGGTCCGTGGCGGCTCCTCCCCAAAAATCTCCTAAAAGTCCCTATCCCCAGAGACCCTTTTGTATACCCGGCTACTCCTTCCAATGTAGTCTGGCCCCCTACGTTGGAATGAGTGTGCCTTTTTGCTAGCATAAAAGCCTGAGCCTCATGCAATACAGAGAGTCAGAACCTCATGTCACCCAGTTCAACGTTGCCTTTCGTGGGGAAACCTGATAACATTGAGCCTGCCACCTCACACTGCAATGATGTCTCTCAGAGATGGTTTCCTGATCGTCATCAAATGTTCTTTGGGATCGGTAAGATAAACACTCACCAAAAATATCCATCACTGTTTCTTTTACTCTTTGCTGGCTCTTCCTCCATATCTTTCCCTATAGTAATAAACTAGTTGTTTTTTTTTTATCCATTGTGTCTTGCCTCCCTCTCAACCTGGAATCCTCGAACTCTGGAACAAAGGGAGTCCTGAAAAATTGTCATTCCATGGGGGTAGCTACCAGCCCTAATGGCATAATGAGAATTAACACTTAGAAATATTTCTTTTAGCTATTAATAGCATAACTTATTATATTTCCATTTATTAATGCGCACTCTCCTCATGGTACCTACATGCAATCTAAAAGAAATAACAAGCATGTTCTCCGAATATGCTGAGACTCATGTCTTACCACAGTACCTCTTCATAAACTCTTCACCAGCAGAACAGGCTAAGAATCACACTCACTGATTTCAAATTCAGACAGATCACCCAGTTTTACGTTATTTGGCTAAGATCGAGTTTTCTCTGTGATGACACATACAAGCCTCTCTCACACACACCTGCCCTGAAAGACATGCCCCTCAGATTTCATACCTAAGTGCATATGACATTCTGTCCAGGTGGAGTGCCCTCAGTAAAATTAGTTTCTGAAGAAAGCTTTTGTTTATCCATTCTTGGGGAAGCTTTTCATTTTCTGGACATTGTGAGTCTACCCACTTCTTTCACCTCTTGGTGGATCTTTCAGTATCTATCTATTCCCCTAATACATCCATCACTGCCATAGACTGGAAGCATGCTAAAGACAAATACAGATGGTGTACCTTCTGTATGAAGACTGAAATGGGAAGATAAATGCAGATACTTTTGGGAGTACATAAAAAACCATAATTTAACTGATTAAAAGGGACTCAGGATTTAGCTTAAAATACTAAATTACATATATATATATACATGCACATAAAAATAATATTATTGATAAGAGTTTACTTCAGTCAGTATTGCCATACTGTCTGCTTGTTAAACATCAAGGTATGACAAAGCGGAAACCTCATATGGAACATTTATTGTGAGGAGTCGTATGAAGTGAGGAGTCTTATGAAGATCAAAATTTTATTTTAAGGAACTGGACAAATGATGGCAAACCAGAATTTCCTCACAACGCACAATGCACTATGTCTAAGGAAAAATACACTTTTTAAGTGTATTTAAGCAAAGTGTTCTTAAGCAAGGACAGTTCCTCTTTAAAAGCATCACTAGTTCTACTAAAATTATGGTGCAATGTATGGCTTTATCTGAAATTGCCTATCTGTAGCATGCCTTCAGAAATAACATCAGAAAGGATTTAGAACTGAAAAGCAATTTTCCCAGCAGACCTTAATGGCACTCCACGACTGAGTAGTTAAGAAGTCAACAGGACTCTTGCAGGTGTGTTCAACTCTGAATCAAAGAAGGAAATCCAATTCAAGTTCTATCTCTTTAATTCTTAGAAGAATGTTCACAGCATACAAAACTGAAAAAGGTCAACTTGCTTCAGAGCCACTTCTGCCTTAAAGTATTCACTTCTCAAAGTATTACTGAATAGGGAGCTCAAAGCAACAAGGGTTTCTATAGCTGCATATTTTTGAAACTCTGACATAAGAATTTACATCTTGCTGAATGATATTTTGAAATATTTATTTGAAATCTATTGCAAATGGAATTATATTCTTAGAAATTATTTACCAAAGAGTGTGACAATTTTTTTCAGAACCATTCCTACATACAAAAAGAGCTGAACTTTCCTTTACCTTTTAAAAATGACACCATGAAAACCAAATACAACCTGCCAGTGAAGACTTCTTTGCAGAAAATATAACTGCATATATATATCATATATATATATGCACACAATATATTTTTATATATGATAATACATTTACATACAAATTCACTGAAATTTAAAGAAGAGCTAGCCAACAACAGCAGTTATTTTTCTTTAGCTTGTGGGAACAAACAAACATAAATATGTAAATCGTGCACACTGAAGTTAACCTTAGACAGATTTAGTTACAATTATTTTATGCTAATACTACTGAAAAATTACATATTTCTGAATTCCACCTAATTATCTCTATGTATCCTTTTCCTGTCTCGGAAGATAGGAAGAAGAACAAGTAGTGCACAGCTGTTTCTATCACCATTCTAAGCCTCTTCAGACTGCAAGTTTTCACAAAGCTTTTGGGAAATTTGCTAATCCCGAGTGGTTTTTGTTGTTGGGTATTGTCTGGGGTTTTTGGGGGTTTGTTTTATACTGAAGCAGTCCCAGCACATGAGCTGTATGTATACTGAAGAAAACTCCAGGTTTCTACGAGTTTTTTTTTTTTTTTGTCAGTTTAATCATATATAGTGGGAAAAAGAGACACCTTTGCCATGATACAATATATTCTCTTTTCTTTTTGATATAAATATATTCATCTGTCAAAAGCCTCCTCTTTTCCAATTAAAAATATATTTAATAAATCAGAAGTTTATTGTGCCCTTTACTCTGTAACAAGATAACTTGTTTGGGCAGAGGTATTACCTTCTAGTGAAGAAACAACAAGGCCAGTAAATATCAACATCATTGATCTGAAAATTTTTTGTCACCTGAAAAGGTGTTTGGGCCAAGGAACTGAACTGATCCTTTCCAAAACGTCCTTGGCTTGTGAAAATAAAGGCTGAATATGTGACAGCTTCTGTCAGGTTAGACATATGACACTGAATATCCCCTGATTTTTCAGCCTGCATAATTTGTGGGAGATTGCATTGAAGGCCTGAAAATAAGTACAATTATTTTAATTTATTTGAATTTTGCTTTTTTTCTTTTTCACCTGTAACATAAGCCGACTGTAGGCTTCTAAGAAGAGCTGGCATAAGCAATCTAAAATGCAAAGCACTTCTGCAAGAGGCTTTTGAGGAAGCTTTCCACAAACTAGTGGTGAGGGCTGCAAATGACAATACTCTTCACTTAAGCAAACTGCTAATTTTGCAGTGGGTGATCTCCCTTCCTCATAGCATTAGATCATTTGGTAGATTTGCCAGAGTGAATTCAGAATCCCTCAAAAAAAAGTAAACTTTGTAAGAACATTCAGAAAGCATGGTCAGAATAAAGACAGTTGACAAAGTCATCTGTGGGAATGTACTGCATTCCCATGAATGCTGCATGACCAGCAGGAGGTCATATCATGGTCTCCTTTGTCAGACACACAGACCTGAAAATGTAAACATCTGGTACAAGCGATAACTAATATATCAGACCTCACTGCTGGAAGCAGAATTCTGTTCCTTGCACTTTGAAACCAAATACAGGAAGATGATAAATTTTTACCCTCAGTGAAAACTGGTAGATGGGGTTCGAGCTGCCCAGGGTGCTCCTAACAACATAAAGAATGGACACTATTACAGCTGTTGGTCTGTAGTGCTCTCTTGTCACATTAATCTGAGCTTCATTTTCTTTGGCTTCAGCTTTCTATAGGATGACAATTGCATTTAGTTTTTAGTGCACCACGATTATCCCACACAATTACCAACATTTTCCTATCCATACAAAAATGCATATGGATATACTCTAGAAAACTGACTTTTTTTCACAGAGTAGCAAATATTTAAGGTAGCAAATATTAAGTAGCAAATATTTAAGATAAAAATCAAGCTTTTTATCTTAGACAAACATTAGAGAACAACTGTTTTCTGCAGCAATATGCCTGTTTACCTGTGAAATTATGGTAATCATATATGAATACATTTGTTCATATTCCATGCTGATACTTACTTCTTTTATGAGTTCTGACTCAAGCACTTAAATGAAAAAGAAAAACACCCATGAATATGTGACAATTACATACCAGAAATATGGAACTCTGAATAAGTGGGTGGACAGCCCTTGATGTACAGAGATGGATTTGACTCTTCTTAGCTTATAGAAATGCTTCATTAAAATAATTACTAACACACATCTTACAGGTGACTTCAAGTGGTTAAAAATAGTTCCATTGTTATTACCTTGTGCTATATTTCTGCTGCAATTGACTTTGTTGATTTGAGTTTCTCCGCAAGTTCACTGTTGTCTAAGAAGCTGCCCTGCGAAGCTGACAGGCTGAGTAGCATGCCATCCTCCAGTGACCCGAGCTCAGTCTTGAAACTATTCTGCTGCTTGGCCAGGGTGGACTAGCAGAGGGAGTGAAAACACTGCATTTAAACAACCACAGCCAGAAATTCTGATTTATACCATTTCTGAACTATAATTTCTGTTTAATTACATCATTTGATTTAATTTAATTTCTGAAAGAGACAGTTTATCTTCTGTCCCAAAACACTAGAACTAAAGTTCTGAGACACCCAAAGAGAGATGGTCAGGGTCAATGCGGACCAGCACTCTAGCTGTCTCCTAGCCTCCTTCCTCCTCAGACCACACGAAAGGACTGGTCTCTTACCAGAGATGGAAAGTGGTAATATATGTGGCAGCTGAGAAAATCAACAATAGCACAAGGCTAGAAAACCCCACTTCATCAGCAAGCAGTGGGGGAAAGCATGGTCATAGTCAGCTCTGCTGGCTTGACCTTCTGACAGTTAAATAGTCTTATAGCTCCATCAGACTCAGACCCTCACACCAAACCCCCCTCAGTGATACAGGTGCTGTAAGCATACAGCCCCATGCAGAACAACATGCAGATACAGAGGAGCATGGCTTTCAGATCATGTTCCCAAGTATATGGCTTTCAGTCTGCAAGGGGCAATTAAACCTCTCTGACCCAGTTTACCATTGCATGAAGCAGCAGTACCTCAAAGAAGTGTAGCAAATCTTTGTGGATGAGGCTAGTAAATTAAATGAGATAGCTGGTGTCGTGGTTTAAACCCAGTCAGGTAACTCGTTCGCTCACTTCCCCCCCTTTCTTGCCCTCCCCCTGCTCTCGGAGGGACGGAGAGGAGAATCAAAAAGAATGCAACTCCCACGGGTTGAGATAAGAACAGTTTAGTAACTAAGGTATAACACAAATCACTACTGCTACCACCAGTAATAACAATGATAAAGGAAATAACAAGGGAAGAGAATACAACACCTCAGCACCAGCTGACCGATCACTCGCCCCCCCAAGCCCGACCAAGCTCCAACCGATACCTCCTCTAACCCTGCAGTCTCCCAGCCCTTCCGGCTAACTCCCAGTTACCTCCTGGACATGACGTGCTGTGGTATGGAATACCTCTTTGGTCAGTTTGGGTCAGGTGTCCTGTCTCTGCTTCCTCCTGGCTTCCCCCCCTCCCTGGCAGAGCATGAGGCTCACAAAGTCCTTGGCCAAACCAAAACATCCTTGTTATCAGCTCTGTTCCCGAGCTGAAAGTCAAAACACTGCACTACACCAGCTACCAAGGAGGAGAAAAATGACTGCTACTGCTGAACCCAGGACAGCTGGGAAGACACACTAGAGAAATAGGAAGTGTTCTTATTCATTTCACACCCTTAAGTGGTTTTCTTCATTTTTTATCTCATAGATCACAGTCTGCTCAAAGTCCTTTCTATAACCAGCTATAAAAGTGTTTCTCTTCATAAGTTACCGTACATTGGCATGCCTGCAGCAGCCACAGAACTGCATCTTTGCAGGAATAAATTATGATCTATTAATCAAGTGCCCCCGGTCCTAACAATGCCATCATATCTTCTTACGGACTGGCATGAAATTTTATTCACTCTTACTGGCTCAAGATCACTGAAGCACAAAGCATGGTAGAGGGCTTTAGTCCTGCACTGTAAATTAAATGCAGTGCACAGAGCAAACCAAGCAGTAGAGAGAAGTGTGAGAATAAAATCATGATTAATTTAATTTCAAGCAGAGATTTAGGTCAAGCCTAACCCTCTGGGAGCATGGATTTGAGCAAATCAGTAGAAGTACCTGCTACACATTGCAGAAGCTGGTCCTTAAAAATCTTTCTAACATACGGGTTACTAACAATTACTGTACAGCAGATCCAAACAGGTGCATTAATACTAGTCTCAAAATCTCAGGAGGGGCAATGGGCAGGTCAAAATATAGTCTTTACCTTACATTTTTCTAAGTCTGGCTTTTCAACATTGACAGTCTCAGTCAACAGCTGGTCTTCTAGCCCTTCCCTGGTGACAGTAAAATTAATGAGGATGGTCTAAGTCTGCAGTTCTGGCTTGTAGAGAGGGTTAGCCAGTTTAGTGTGAAGGATGAGATAAAAATTCTTGTAGAATTCATATTCTTTGCTTTCAATCTTCATATATCTGGGAAGGAATAAAATGCACATCAGTGGAGATCTCAGTGAATTTAAAAAAACATAAATAGCTTGCAAAAGATGGACACCGTATGATCTTGGCAGTATAGGAAGTGGATACAACCCAAAATTTAGGTGCCTGCAGCTTAAGAAACAAAATAACAATGGTTAAAACACACCAAATTCTATGAAGAATACACAAACCATTTCTTAACTGGCATCAGTTCATTTGCATATTCAGCAGACACCAGTAGATTATTCACTGCTGTACTGAAGAGCTGCGGCTTAGGGATAAACATCTGTCTTCATTACTTACCACAAACTTAGGAAAGTTTTCAAACAACTCTTAATGAGATGATTGTAAGAACAGTTATTTCCTTAAATATAACTCACATTTCCATCTTTCGAAACACTTTAGCAGTAAATCCTAAAAAAACTAACCATATATATATATTTATAACAAACTGGTAGTAAGTAGAGGAGAGAAAAAGGCTGGTGACTGAAATAACAAAAATAATTTTTAAGGCAATCTGCTAAATGTGTTCCAAGACAAGTATTTGCTGGCTGAAAGAATGAATTATACCAGGTTCACTTTTTATTCACTGAACACAATGCCTTAGTCTAGTCATGTCATTTCCTGACCCCTTGCCTTCCATGAGAGTTGTCAGCCTGTTCCGTACAGCAACACTACTACTGCTGAAATACCAGTCGTACTTCCTACTTCTATGGCTCAGCACCTAAAAAAATGGAAAGACTGCTTATAGACTGCAGTGTGTGCTGCAGAGCAAGTGCCACAACTTTTTGTCATCTGCTTCCACAGTGACCAGTATGCCAGTCTTCAGCCATTGCCTGTCACACATGAGCACAAGTGCTCTATTTTATGTACAGCAATGGCTTTGAATGTTCTCTGCCATAAAGAAGATCCAAACATTAGCAACAAAATTCTGTTTAAAAGAAGTCAGTAGAACATTTATACAATGGAACATAGGTAGACACAAACCCTTTTCAGAAAATTCAAATTGCTATTTGTTAAGTTAAATCAATCTTGAAAGTGTTTGCATTAGTATAGATACTAAACACTTAAAATGCAATTCATGAAATGAAATTCACATCAAAACATGAATGAAAGTATTTTCTGTACAAATTTTAAGTCAGGAATACATATTTCATCTCTTAGCATCCTTGCCTGCTTCTGACATCCCCTTAGCCAGAAGACACAGGCTAGATGAAATGATATGCTGAAAGCACTTCTGCACTTCACCAAGGATCAGGAAGAAAAGAGAGTCACTTGTGGTATACTACAAGTGAAGTCCTAAAAATAGCCTACTATGCATAGTTCTAGAAAACCCATGACTTTACATAACTCAGTATCAGGTGTGTGTATCTTAAATAGTACTGCCATGCAAACTACTGTAGATGAGTTTTCCTGGCTTATGCTTGTATAATTATGAAATAATTTAGTCATGCAGTCATGTCCTTCAGACAATACAACCTTTCTCAGCTGGACATGAATTAACCTTCCAGTTCTGCACATGGATTTCAATTCTGATTCTGCGCTCTCTCCACAGCCTTCAAAACGGACTACAGCTGGAAGGAACCTATCAGTAGACCTGATGCACAGAGAGAAATTTTACCTCACTTTCAATACATATGCAGAGAGACAAGAGACAAGCAGAGATCTGACACAGGACAACTTTATCAGTTTGCTTTGTCAGTGGAAAAACCCTCACTAAGGAAGTCACACTGTATTTCAGAAGGTCTATGTGGCAACATAATAAGCTTTAGAGTTCTGGATTCAAGTACTTTATGGGTTCAATTCACAGAAGCAATAAATTACCAATTTCTGTGATTATCATCTATGAAAGGCAAAAACTATATAATGACTAAGTGGGTTGTATTACTGTAGCTGTTCTAGGTTTTCTGTTAATTACAGATCTGGGAAGAATAAATGTTTTGTTATTGTTTTCACAAGGTTCAAGGAAGATAAGCAACAGCGATAAACATACAGGTGGGGAAACCCAGTAGAACAGCTTCATTTTTTTTTCCCAGTGAAATGTATCTATTTAGAGATTTAGAGGTTGATTCTGAAGAAATGTAGCAGATATAGGCACTATTTATGGATGATGATAGAAGGCACATTTATATATATAAAAAAAAGGTCACCAAATAAGTTACTAAAGACAAGTTCTACTTTGGTGATTTTTCTACATAATCTTCATTTCTTCGTTCCACCAGCAGAGGCAGATAGAATGGACTGAATTAATGCACCATTCTACCCAGGAGAAAACAGAGCCTCTTTCATGTGAGCTCTATCTCCATGTTATTTAAGAGCATACACAGTAAATTAAAGAAAGATTGTTCTCCACAAGTTTTTGGTTTTATTTTCTGTGGAAAATTTTGTAGACCTTGAAATAAGGGAATCACAAAGCATTTCAAAAATCCTGTATGCTCTTTGAGGAATAACCGATTTTTAGCAAAAACAAATAATAAAACCAAACAAATTTCAGAAGCTAACACAAGTATTAAACTCGCAGCTATGAGAAGTCTCCACTATGGGAATAGTGGAACATCTTGTCTGATCTGTCAAAATCTGAGTTATCCTCACAAAGACCTGTTTTTCTTTCATATGTGCTGCCTACGGAAACATTGCCTAGGTCTTTCAAAGATGGGATCTCATGAAGACAAAAAAAATACTGAGTATAGGAACATGACTTCATATCATGAAATGCAACAATAGTTTATACAAAAGCTTTTCGTAGCAGATACTTTAATGCAACTCAAAATCAAAAGGACTATATTTCAAGGCAGATGTTCTCCAAAATATTCCATGACTCTAAATGGCAGACAGTAGAGTAGCTCCCCATAGCTAAAAGTTTTCTATAAGCTCAGCAAGAATGAAAAGAAGTGATAAAATTTTGGACAGGAAAAGAAAGGGAAACAATATTTTTCAGTGTGAAGAAAGAGGGATAAACACATTTTCCAAAGGAGCCTTCTTTCAGTTCCTGCTGCTTAAAATTAAAAGCTTCTGGAACCAACTTGCAAAATCCAACAAGTAATGTAGAGAATGAGGTTGAATAAATTGAGTGGAAACAACTGCAGAATGGAGCTGTTACTAGGCAATCTCAGTAGGCAAATGGTGCAAGCTAGTTTGACAACTAGTTCAGTGGAAAAAGCACTGCCTTAAAGTTGCACAGCTGGCGAGACATTCAAGGCAAGGAAAGCTTCTCCCTGTGGAGAAACAGAGTGAATTGTCTTGCTGTTCCATGAATAATAGTCATGCCTCGTAAGAATGGAAACTTGTTCATACAAGCTACATTTGCACATAAATCAAATTTCAAGGCATTTTAAAGAATCTTGTAATAAGCTAATCTTGCAACTGACAAGGTGGACTACCACTTTGTGACTGTGCAAAGGATCTGAGCAAGTGTAACAGCTCATGTGAATGCAAATAGGGGCCTTCTGAACAGTGAATTTATTCCTCTATCTGCTTTCCTATGAGTCAAAATGAAATTGATCTATTATAGTTAATGCTCATATCCAGTGATCTCCAAAACAATAGTGCTGGGGAGATAGGAAACACGCAGATAATCCTCAAATATTAGAGCCTATCTGTACCAAACCTATTCAATAGCATCATTCCTCTTAGAGCAGGCAAGGACCAAACCCCAACACCGTACAGAACTGGCACCTGTTTATTTGACTTACCTGCTTCAGAAAATCTAAGTACATGCATTTTGAATCATTTTTGTATGTATTTTGTATGTATTTTACTTACTTTTTTATTGTGACTTTCATGCTTATAAAAAGCTGTATAATACAACCGATTTTTTTTTAATTATTTTATCTCTTTTGCCTTTTCTCCCTCTTCTTAAAATATTCTCAAATATTTTAATAAAAATTTTAGCATTTTAAAAACATTTTGAACACGAGATCACAGTTTAAAGTGTATTAAGACACACTGAGCAGGTTGGCAGCTCCAAAATTAAAATTTTAAAAAATCTAGATTTGAACACCTAAGCTTGTTAGGCTTCTAAATATATACTAAGAAGGCAGTAAACAAGAACTCTGATTTTCAGGTAACAAGTACCTGTATTTCAGCCTATGATCACCCATGTTTTGAGGAAAATAATTATGTATGTATATTTGAAGTTCTCTGAAGGTGAGAATTTCTTTTGCAGGCTTTATTCAGAAAAAATATCAGAATATGGCGTTACAGAATATTGACAAGTCCTACACAAGAACAATCCTTGTAAACATGGAAGGAGAGATACTTTTATGAAGCTGCTTCACAGATCGGTAAGTTCTCTAAGATGCAGGCTAGTAAATTTGCTTTGGAAGAAGTACAAGTTGATAAATCTCCCTTGCTATGCTTCCTGTCGATAGATATGATAAGATACATTTTACTTAAAATTAGGATTGTCTGAATCTCAGTGGATTTAATTATTTGTAATTATCCAGTTGTTGTCAGTATGTGGCCATTTTATGACAGTGGTATCTACTGTGTGGGTCAGGTTCAACTGTATATCTTTTCAAACACAGAATTAATGTACTATTGATGAAACCATTACTAGAACCAAATTAAAGTCTGGGCTGATGTATTGGTCTACAGGGTGCTGTTAGACATGAAAGGAGTAATCAGTATTCATTAGTTCATACTCTGCAACATTCCAATTATTAATGAACTTCAACTATTGAACTGCACCATATCTATCACAAATACCTTTCTAGTCTTTCTTTATTGGGACAAAAAAAAAATTCAAAGTACCTGACACAACTAGTAAAATAAACAAATAATAAAATTTAATCCAGAACAGGAAAAACTCTGCTTATTTGTTAATAAAGGAGTATATATATTATTAGTGCCCCATAAAGAAGACCTGCCTCATCATTAGTGAGCCACAGAATGCTAGGTCATATACCGCCACTTAAAATATTCACAAGAACCTGTGTTTGAATAGCTCCATATATTTGTGCTTGTGTGCAAAGGTCTGTTATGCTATATGGATGTCTTTGCTAAGTATATGAAAAAATTATATTGTTGTGATCCTTCTTCTTTTCAATCCAACATCTTTTTATTGATTTACATCATTCTCATGTCTTAAGGAACTCTTACCCGGCGCAACTTCTGATCTTTTAGACCAGTATAATTCCAATTTTCAGTAGAGTTTTTTCACTACAGATACTAAAAAACAATCTACATGGTCTTACTCTGAAGTACTCCAAATACCACTGCAGAAAAATGTAACAAAGAGGAATCATTTCAAGATGCCACAGTGCAGGGAAAATGTGCATCTTCCAGGAGCTTCATGTGTGCAAGAAGATTTGAGCTGTTGTGTATTGCTTAGATTTATTGCGCAGGCACCGATGCCTGAAGCATGGGGGGTGGGGGGGGGGGTGGGGGGAGAGGAAGGAGGCAGCGATAGCTTGGGTAATCTGTCCAAAACTAGATATAATTTTTATTTCACTTTTCTTTCATATTTTCTCTTTTTAAAACCTGAAACTATGCAAGCACTCTAAACACTCTTTGAATAACATTTGACACTCATCCAGAAATACTTCAACGGTATTCTCTGACTTTTCTCAGAATAAACATCATATTCTTCAACATAGAATCATAGAATAGGGTTGGGAAGGACCTTAAGATCATCTAGTTCCAACCCCCCTGCCATGGGCAGGGACACCTCACACTAAACCATATCACCCAAGGCCTTGTCCAACCTGGTCTTGAACACTGCCAGGGATGGAGCATTTACAATCTCCCTGGGCAACCCATTCCACTGCCTCACCACCCTCACAGGAAAGAATTTCCTCCTTATAGCCAACCTAAACTTCCCCTGTGTAAGTTTTAACCCATTACCCCTTGTCCTGTCACTACAGTCCCTAATGAAGAGTCCCTCCCCAACATCCCTATAGGCCCCCTTCAGATACTGGAAGGCTGCTATGAGGTCTCACACAAAAGGTCAGAACATAATGTTACTCTCCCTTGTACCATCTACCAATCCTACCACTCCTACCACTGCAGTGTCAGAATAGGGAAAACACTAATTCAGCCTTGCATTACCAAATTCAAATCTGAATTTCCCACATGAACACCCAGCTACAGACCTCTGAGGTGGAGCTCACATGGGCACCAATGCCGTAAGCCCTTCCATTGGGATGGAGAGGTCAGAACAGCCCCTGCACTCGGGTCTGTGGAATACTTGCATGAGAAATAGGTCACAAGAGTTTTGATGCTAGCAGACTAGGTTTCTGGGTAAAACTATAAAGACAGTAACACCACAATTACATCTGTCTCAATGGATTTGTGAACACTGTCAAATGGAGTGGTTTGATGCATGGCATGTTGGCAGCAATACTGATGGAAAGACACCCCCTCTCTAGCTTGCTTATTTCTGCCCTGTATTGTTTGTATTTTAAACCAGTTCATTGATCTGGTTTCAGTGTTTCACAGAGTGGCCCAGAAACCAGCTATGGCAACAAACTGCAAAGTAGAGGCACAGTATTCTTAAGCTGATATTAAAGCTGGAAAACCTTATATTGTTAAATTTAAATCAGGCTAGATTTAACCATTTCCAATACTTTCCTTTTGCTAAAGTTGCATAACATGGAAATGAAATAATTTATTTTCTTTTGAGCTAAATTGTAATATATATACTCCCTGTTTTGTACCTTTTTTGAAGTAAAACAAAAAAGAAAAGATTTTCACTTTGGGTTGAGAAACTCACATGCATGTCTGTATTGTATTCAAGCCAAACTTGTGAACTGGGAAGAGAATTTTGTTATCTAATCAGATACAGATACTAACATTTTAATACCTACTCATCATCATTTTTCAGCCATTGCATTTTAAAAAGAACTTCATGAAGCGTTATGAAGCAGTAAGCAAAATATGGCAACCAAGAAAATGTAGATCTGGTTGTCATGGCAAAATTCTGATTAATCAAGTATACTTACTTTCCCTTTTTAACTGTATGTCTTCCATGCAAGTATGGGATCAATAGTTTCACACATGTTTTTGATTAGTACAGTCTCTCCACAAGCCAAAATTCTTTCAATGGTCTTCAGAAAACTTAATATGAAAAACAGAAAAAACTCCCTCAAATATTAGATAAATGATACTTATAGAAATATTTCTCTTATATTAATAGGAGTTTTTCTAAAAGAACATGGTTAAATCATGCAAAACTGTTAATAAATAATTTCCCAGTGGTTAAGGGTTTGACAGTTTTGAATTCAAATTCTTTCTACCTATGCTCTTGCTAGTCCTCATATTAAAAAATATATATTGCTGGGGCTTTTCTTACAAGCAAATACCAGGATATAGCTCCACATTGAAGACACTAGAATTAACAGACAGAGGTTGAGGGAGTACATATATCTTTTAGCTTTTTTTTTTTTTTTTTTTTTTGTTTTTGTGTTATAGCTTTTGGTATATTCTCGTCTAAACAATAAACACTTTCTTGAAGGGTTAGAATCCAAATGACTTCGGAGAACTCTGTCTCAATTGACACTGAGAGTAGATAACAGTGGAAGGATAAGTAAGCAGACAACATAGCTTCACAGAGAGGTACAGGGCATAACAGAAGAGAGCTCATTCAGAGGAGCAGACAGGTTAAATGATTAACATTTGTTTAAAAAATAAGTGCATTACTCTGACCATTTACTATGCTGAGTAATCATGTGTTACATCTGGAATTCAGGAAAATAAACTTAGATAGCCCTTTGAAATGGAGCCGTTAAATCTTATCTACTTGGGTCCCTATATAAAAGTAAGCATGAGAAAAGATATGAACAGATGAATTACCTGCAAGAGCTACCAACTTACATATAATTCAGTAATAGCAATGAGAATCAAAACTATGTCTGTTTACCGGGAAAGGACCTGATACTGGCTTTTGCATTGAATGCCATACACTGGATTGAATCTTTCCCTGTGTAAGATGCAAATGCTGTGTTCTGTTGACTAAATTGGACAGCATAAATAAGGTAATAGCATCAGGCTTTGCACCTTACCTATTGAAAAAGTGATTTGCCCCTCACAAGAAGAGCATTTCATCTTCCACTCTATTTTCTTCTCAATGCTTGAAAACAACATTAAAAAGGTCCCCTTTAAAGCACCATTTAAAATGGGAAATACTGATAGGGATAAATAAGCAGTGGTGTTGTAATATTTCAAGTGTACAAGTAAGTGCATTCCAACAAACACCAATCCCTTACAAAAATCAAGGAACTTGGGGGCAGTAAAACATAAAAGCCAATTCTTCAGCATGCACATACCCTTCCTGTCCTCGACGTACAACATTAAGGTCAGCTCCATATTTATTCTTTATCCATTTAATTCCCTGTTGCTCGGGATCTATCATCAGAGGGCAGTACTCACAGCTTGTTAGAATAGTGACGTTTTCTGCTCACATCCTATCACTGGACAGCCACTTGTTATTTAATGCCGCAATCATAGCATCATCCATCAACATGACAATTGTGTCCAGACCCTTCATCACAGGAACAGAAACCTTTGAATAAGAGTGGAATATAATCATCCAGCAAGGTTACCAGGTAGCAAGACATGACTCAGTGCAATGCACAGGATAACTGGGCTCATATAAATTAGGCTTTCTAGGCAGCAAAGTAAGGAAGAGCCTTGTAGAGTTTTAGATGCAAAAGGATATACTAGAAAATGTGATGAGAAGTGGTTTATCATATTTATAGCAGATTAAATAAAAGAAAAAGTGTTTTCATTTAAGACATTTGCATCATAAAAAATAGTTTGGTAAAGTTTCAAACCCACCATGTATTATCAATTGCAGTGTATACAGTTACCTATATTTCAAATTCAATGCTCTTGAGCATGTATTTCTGGAACCATAAATCAGTATCCACACAAAAATTATAAAACCAATATTCCCATGTTACCTTATTAATGTAGTTCAGTGATGTGTTAACAAGCTCAAAAGCCAGAGAGAGAAAATCATGTCTGAGAGCAGAGGCAGCCTCAGATCTCCCTGAGTGGGACCAGATGCGGCAATGTTATCATGTGAGTGCCTGCTCTCTAAGACAGGCACTTAGAGAGTGCCTGCTCACTAAGGAGGAGGCTGTGATCTCCATGTACACTAGAGCAGCTGTCAGACAGCAGGCTTGCTGGATACTAACTTGCCACAGATACTTACAAGGAGATGAAATTAAAAAGAAATAGAACATCTGAAATGAGGGCTTTCTGAATGGTTGCAGTTTGGAAGGGAAATGCCTAACAACACACAGAGTGAGAGTGAACACCTAAGATATTTGGAAAAGAAAAATTGTTAGTGGAAGCATAAAAAGACCTACACTGGATGATGCCTGGAATTGCTGAAACAAAGGCCAAGGCCCCAGCAATTCCTTCATTATGTTATTCCAGGCTTCCTTATTTGTGATTTCAAGTTTAAATTCAAAATCCACAGATAGAACCACAGCATCATCAGTATTTAGCCTGAACTACCTTCTATATTGCTCAGAAGTGTTTTAAAAACTCTTCAATCAAAATTTTCCTCTTCCTTAGACATGCATAACTCCACATGCAGGTTTGTATACTGGAAATTATTTTAAAAGTGCACATTAAAAAAAACTTCTAAATCTGGTGGTTGTTTATAATGAAAATAATTACATATATTTAAATTGAGCCAAATTTGCACAATTATGAACAATAAGAACGGCACCATATCTCTAGTACAGTTTCTGTGGCACAACGATATAGTTAACATATTATTATGAAAGGTATACTACTTTAAAATTGTCTAACCCCTGATTTTAATCACAGTGCCCCAAATAAACCTAACTTTTTATAACTTGCTGAAAATACAAGTACAAAAAGACCAAAAGGCATATATGCCCCTCCACAAGCAAGCAATATACTCATCTTCCTTGTGTAACACCTTTATCTAAACACAACATAAGACTGAAAATATAATTTATCTCTGGACTGTAAGGCAAGCAATACAATAATTTCCATGAGCTGAAATATTTCCTTGTGGAAAACACTAGCTTTGGGGTATGACAAGGGTTTCTAATACATTTTTCATGCAGTACAAGAAAAATATTTTAATATATAGATACATCTATTTTTATCATATCTGCACAAAGCTTCGTGACATAGAACTTCGTATTCCTTCTAAAGAGGACTACTAATAAATATCTATTTTTAACATCACTATGTAAATGCATTTCTCTCCTCTTTTCTACTCTTCCTCACTTGCAGCAAAACAATCAAAGCCTAGACAAAGTATTTTTTATCACTGCTGTTCAATGAAAGCATTCAAAAAGTAAAAAATTACAGTATGGATTATTTTTTATTTATAAAAATGTTCAATCCATTTCAGAGGATTCTTAGAAGAGCTAAGAATGACATTTATTTCCAGGGTCCCATTACTGAAAATAATAAACGTATCGGTGTAATTTTTTTTACGTATCAGCATTAATCTGCAAGGTAGAAGGAGGTTTTTGAGAAATAACTTCATCTGCAGACAAAGTTTTGGTGGAAAAGAACAGGAAGATTTTCCAGGCAAAACAAAGCTCCACAGAAATTAGTGACTGTTAAACTCTCACACAAAATAAGCATCTACAGAAAGATATCCCTGCCGTTCTGAATGCTGACCTTGGAAAGCTTAGATTTGGCTTTAATGGTATTTCAAATATCCCAGGCAAATCAGCTGGTCTGCTGTGCCTTAGCCTTGTGAATTAAAATGGGGCAAGAGTAGAATAAACTGCATTAATTATGATATAATGCTATGATTTGTGGCACATGAGAAATAAGAAACAATTAGGAAGAGGTGAGGAACATTTGCAGCAGTAAGGAGGAAAGGAGCAGTCCAAAGCAAGAATGGAGAAGGATTTGCAGAGACCACTCCAAGGGTTAGAGCCTCTATGAATTTATTGAGTGCTATCACAGTTTCCTCCATGTACAAGAGAAATGGGGATTATCATAAATACATGCTCTTACTAGAGCTGAAAAGCTAAGCAGAATAGGTCTCCCTATACACCTTTCACTATAGCATTTGCTGTTACACAGGTGTTAGAAGGGACAGAATTTGGCACTGAGAATTGGAAGGGGATTTTTTATTTTTTTTTTTTTGCCAAAGAGAACTCAATTTCTTTCTCTGATTCCCCTGAATATGTACCTGTAATCTGAGGGAAGCATGTATGCATGTATGTACTGGAAAACAAATACCTGCAAAAAGCCACTTTAAAATACTGTTTTGTGCTTCAGATTCTTGAATGCAGCAATTTTAGAAAACCAGACTCTTCACAGGAGACTCTCATTTTATACAGTAAATTTTACCTTTCGTGACTTTAGAAAAGGAATCCAGAAATGTTCCAATCAGTTCTTGGCGATACTGTTTTGTGAAAGACGCAAAGACACAAATGCTGCTGTTAATAAGCTGTCACTACGTAAAGGTTTGTTTTGTCCTTTGAGAGTTTCAACAGACTGGGTCCAATGTATGTTTTTAGACTACAAAGCAAAATTAGAAAATGTTATCTCCTGAAAACTTGGAAATGGCAGAATGTTTGGTCTCCACATTAAAAAACAGAGTACAATAAGACAGGTACTGTCAGCAAGAGATACCCTTCCTAATACCACAAGGCTGGAAACAATCCATTCTCTCTGGGATGGTGATTTGATATCTTTGAAGCTGCAAAAATAGAACGGAGCCCTTAATCAAGCATTCTATCTCCTTCCCCTGTTTAATTTTCACATTTGTCTCAACCAGATACAGTATGGCAGACACATGGCAATACTGGCAGCATCTGGCATAATACTGCAAGGGACAGTATGACACTACTGCCTTCTGCAAAGTGCAATCATTTTCAGCAAGATTTGAGAAAGGCAAGGAAACAAGAATATTAGAAGGAAATAAACAAAAATTAAATAAAAAAAGGAAAGGATAAAAAGCTGTTTCAGTCTTAGCAAAGATATGAAGACTTCTTTTTCATGCTTTTTTCCAAGGTAAACACAAGGCAGAAGAGTTGCAAGGTTTTTTTCTTATTATTTGTTTGGCTTGTTCTACCTACTAGCTACAGAAGTTTTACTGCATTAAAAGCCAAAATAATTTGGAATTTTGACAGGAGGAAAGAAGAGGGTGGTCAAACACACAGGTTTGCATAAAGAGGTTATAGAATTTCCAATCTGGCTGATATTCAAAACCTGACTGGACATGATCCTGGGCAGTCTGGTCTAACAGTCTGAGCAGTAGCGGTGGACTAGATGACCTCAGAAGGTTCCTTCTAGCCTCAATGATTATATCAGAGCTTAACTCTAGAAATTGTTTTCTTATTATTTTTCCCCACAGAAAGCCCTGATTTCTGGAATCCCTTGTGCACTTGGCAGAGTTCATCTTAACGACACTTTCCCTGTGATATTTTGGATGACTAGGCAGGAACAGTCTAAGATACTGATTTCTTATTAGTAGCTACATGGAAAGCTGCTATTTTAGTCCAGTTGTGTTTTAAAGACAGTCTATTTAAAATGTTAAATGTTGACTAAAGAATACCAGGGAAATGAAAGCATCTTATATAAAGAAAGCTAATATTTAAGATATGGATCAAATCATCATTTTTGTTTCAATCGAAACTTATGACATGGTGTAAAAAACAAATTAACAGTATTTGGCACGTTATACTTTATTGTGTGTATACAATTCCCAGCAAAGGAATGAATATATGCTGCATGTATGCTCAAATAGTTTCATCATGGAAAGGAAGGTAAAAACTGATCATCTATTAGAGTAATCTTCAAACTGATGAAATTCTAGATGTAAAATTAGAATAGACCACTGTAAGCCTTCTTCCTTGCTTGTACTGTTTGAAATAAATACTCAAGATAAAAGTTTGTTCATTTGACAGGGAAACCTCAGGAAATCATTCTTCAGTGAGCAGGGGGACTGAAGCAAAAAAAGAGCCAGTATGAAAGAAGGAAAGCACACTGCTGAACAACTTATAATCACTGTCTTTTACCCACTGTCATACAGACATTTATTTTTCATAACAATGTCAGTAATCAAAACATATATTTTCAGGCCTTTACATGATGTAATCATAATCAATGAAAATCACTGAATGGAATGCATCCTTCATACTTCAAATAATTATATCTAAAATGCTTGCATTTCAGTGGTGCTAGCTGCTTGAGAGCTTAAAGGAATACTCTTAGACAAGCTCATTCTTGAAAGCCTTAAAAATGTATAAAATCAGTCTCAAATAACAACTCGTTATAAACATAAGTTTCTATATGTACAAAACCAAAATAAACTAACTGTTAAATTTGATATTCATGAAGTATTTTCCATCTATATTTTTCAGAAAAATCAGAAATATTTATGGTAATAGTAAAACATCCTATCCTGTAAAAAAAAGACACAGATATCAGAAGTCTCAAACTCTCCTGTTATAAAACAGGAATATAAAATATTCACTAAGAAAACTGAAGTAATTTTGATTAAAGTACCATGCTTTAAAAAGTTAGCATTTAAATGTTTCAGTGTAAATGCAAGACTTGGTGATTCTGAAGGCCTCCTAAACCCCAGTTACGTTCATAAGAGATGCCCAACAAGTGACAAGCAAAGGACTATTCCTGTTGAAAGGTCTAGCAGCAATTTTTGTAATGTAGCAGTTTTGTTTTGAAGTGTTTTAGAAATCTGTTTTTGCCTATGGAAGTCATTGGATTTTTCTTTAAACCATTAACTGAAGGCAACAAGACAATAAATACATTAATTTAAAAGAAGGCTGTTTGATTTATCCATTCTCTCCTCTTGTCACTGACTGGTAAGTCATAAACAATAAAAAGCACCCACCTCATTCTCCAAAATAGCTTTGAAATTTGAAGATTTACTAAACATAGAATGATTGTCTATTTAAATCTTCAGTAATTTTACTATACAACCCAAGCACCATAACTCACTAGTGACAATGGCTAGCAAGGGTTTAAGAGTTGGAACATGCAGTGTAATAAATTTCCAGACAGTTAAAAATCACTATAATTTTATTCTAATGCATTATAGATTGCCTGTAATGTCATCCTGCCTGAGGTGGCCCATTTCTAATTTTGAACAGCTGTTCAGCTCAGGAGTTAGTTAATGATTAAATATAAATTGCCTGATTTATTAGTCTGAATAGTTGAGCTTCCAGGTCAATGGACAATAGACAAAAACATCAGTCTTGATGATTTTCAGAAGTTAACTCTCTCCTGTTCTAGTCAAAAAGAATTTATTCTCAGAGAAAAAGACTTGATGCTTTAAATTAATCCTTTTAAATGTTTTCCTTTTTAACTTACACAATAAGATCACTAACAAAAACTCAAATCTTTGAGAAAAGCTTCTTTCAACTATGTATAAACCTTCAAATCCAAGACTCAGAGACTACCCTATGGAAGGTCATTGGCGTCCACAATGCTTCACAAGACTTTGGAGGATTGCAGAGTCAGGCCAACAGTGACCATCTCAGGTGTCTTGGGCAAATAAAAGTTTTCATATGCAGATAGCAATATTGACTCCACTGTTTTTCTACCAAAGGCAAGATTATTTACATATTTTACATTTCTGGGCATATTAATTTCAGAATCAAGGATCAAACCCTGGTCTATTTTAATTACACTGGTGTTTTTTGATTAGTTATATACTCTTACAATATTTCTCTCCAAACTGATTAAACCTTGGTTGCTAGTCTCTGCCGAGAGATTTGCAGAAACAAAAGTAATCATACTCTGATCATAGAAGGTCACAGGGAATTTATGAAAACCAACTTAAAATATTTATTCAGACTGCCTTGGGAACTCGCAAAGTAGTTTTAATATTGGTACTTTTCATTTCCTGTAATTTACACTTATTTGTCAAGAAGGAATGGTTGAAATTCTGGATGATGAGTTGAGACAGCATGATTTCAGTAAAGACCTGGGAGAGACTGCACAGCAACACTGTGGCTGACTTGAATATTTACTGACCATTAAATAGGCATGTGTTAGCTTTAATGGTGTTTGCCTGTAAATAAAGCTAATAAGCACACTGAAATATATATAATTTTAACATAAGTACATTTTATTCTTATTTAAAAATTAATAGTTTCTGCAAAAGGAAAAATACAAAAGCAAGCATCAAATATATCATTGGTGCCTTCCACTTATTTGTGATCTAAAGTGCAACGCTGGCAGATACAGGGTGACTCCATCCTTACCTAAAGGATTATTCAGTCTTTCTGCTCATTAACCAAAGGCTGTCCAGGCTGGCACAGTGTGCTCACAGTTGTGTACAAATGTGGTGACTTAGTTACCAAGACTTCTCTCTAGCAATCACGTCAACATCAGTTGCACAGAAATATGTGATTTTTAGGAAATGCAATTGTGGTGCAGTAGATTTTACTCCCCAGGATTTTATTATAAGGTTTATTTGTTGTTTGGTTTGTTTTTTTTGTTGTGGATTTGTTGTTTTTTTTTTCTTTTTTTTTTAAATTTTTTCTATTTAAATTTTTTCTAATGAGGGTTATCTTGTTGCTTGTGCCACCTTCCAGCCTATTTTCCCTACACATAATCCTCAAAAAATTAAGTTTAAACTCATAGTCAACAAAATATTTCAAATATTTTAAAACTCATACTAGGCTGAAGATTCAGGCAAATTCTTCTTACTTCAAATCCCTTGACCAATCTGTTGGCCAGTTCAATAGTTCTGGTGGTTTGTTTCACATCATCTTGACATTGGACTTTCTCTGAAACTTTCTCAAGTGAAGACGTGAGCTTATGCATATTCATATTGATATTCAGAACCTATTCAGAAAAGGGATTGGTAAATATTATACCTTACGATTTGTTGGGTTTTCTGGTGGGTTTTGTTTTGTTTTTTTTTTTTGTTTTTTGGGGGTAGGGAGGGAAGAGGTTTGTTAGGTTTTGGGTTTCTAGGGGTTCTTTTTTTAATTTTTAATTTAAATAATATTTTAAATAATTCTAATGAGAATAGATGAATAATTCCAGACAGTGCCTCTAAGTCTGAAGGATATAAACTTTAGAGGAAAGTTTTGTTGTGCAATATTGTTGTTCTTTCTACAGCTCCTGACACAACAAAGCTATGTTAACTAAGAGCAATTTAGAACAAAATCACCATTAGAATCCTTTACCAAATATCCATTTAAATGGTGGAGATCACGTGCTTGGAGATAATAGCAGGAGAAGTGTTTCTGCCTGATGACAGGCAGAATGGCCAGATCTGCAGGTGCCAGAAAAAAGTGCAAGTTTCTTGTGCTAAGTTCAGTAACAAACACCCTAGAACACACTAACTATGTCCTGTGTATTCTGGAGCATTTAAAAATGTAATGGGGAAAGAAAAAAAGCAAGAACAGAATTGTTATTTTAATTTTGTATATCAGCCTGCTAGCATAAGGTCCAGCAATTTACTCTTGGGCAGACAGGATGGTTTCAGTAATGGCAGAAAACAAGCAGATCTCCTGCATGATGATCCATACCTTCACCCAAGATCTTGAACCACACTTGTATGCACTCTGCTCGAAAGGCAGCAACGTGACCTCTCTCTGCTTTCAGGGCTTTCATACTGAATATACCTCAACTCAGTAGCAGCCGCTACCCACTCTCAGTGAGCTCCTGCAAATTCCCTCTTAGACTTTGGAATTTAGACTGCTTATTAGACTCTTTATTTTCTTCAGTCTCTATCACTCCTACCATATAACAAGTTGCAGAAGAAAAAGCTGCAGCATTTTCTCCAGACTTTTTTAAGTGAGCAGTTAGGATGACACAGGATTTTTAGATAAAATAATTTAAAATTGTTTCTGTTAATGCCTATTTCTCTAAAACAGCTGAAAGATGCTTGGATAAGGAGCTAACTTGTTATCATTGTTGAAGATACAATTCTCCATCTTTCTGAAAAAGGCTAAGAAATACTGTAATAGTCAAGAATAGTTAGTCAACAATAATTACACACTGAAATGGTGGGCGAGGGTGAATCACAAGTTTCTTCTGCTTGTAAAAATAAAAACTCTGAACTGTTGTGTTTGCTCATCAAAAAGAACTTAAAAGAAGAAAGCCACCCACAATGTGTTTATGTTACTTTTCCTTTTCATAAGGAAGATAGATAAACACATTCTTTCCTAGTCTATAAAAAAAAAATCCCTCCATTTCGGTAAACTAAGAACTAATGAATAGAAAGCTGTTAAAAAAGTCAGATATTGAGTAATAAAAATCTAAGAGGTTAACGTCTTGAAAAGCACCGGTTTTACAAGTAATCAGATGAGGTAAAAATTGAATACAAGAACAGAGCTTGAAAGAGCATTTTGAAAAAAAAAAAGATAAGGCAAGACAACAGGGGCAAGACAGCATGCAAATTGCTTGAATCTGTTTTGTTTCTATAGAGTAACTACAGAACTAACAACAGTGAGTTCCCCTTTAGAACAAAATTCTCCTACTTCAGGTATAATAGAAAAAATGCAACAGGAGCAAGGAGTGTGTACCCCCACTAAAGCTTAGTGGATTTGCAGGATCAAAGATTTACACCTCATCTGCCAAGTTCGGTGTTTGAATTGGTGGTGTGCAATAAAGAAATAAAAAGTTAATATACAAATTAAAAACAGTAAATGTATTGGCAAAGGGAAAAATACGAAATCACAACTTGGAGCTTAATAAAAAAGGTTGGCTTGATTTCTTAGGGATAATGAGGCAGCCAATCCACTTCTTTTTAATGGTGGTGGATCATAAATTGAGAGACTAACAAGTTCTGCTCAATAAGGGCATCTCACAGAGATGGACTGTAAGTAATATTTCATCAGTCTAGCATGCAAGGTGTAAGAAGAAAGAAGACAGACACAGTTCTTTACTCTTTATTTCTTTTATTATTTTTTTAAGAGAGACATTTCTAGACATCTCAAATTTGCCTGCATGATTAACATAGATCCGACTACAGTTCAGGTACACTCATCCACCAAAGTCTCAAGCACTAAAAATGGCAAGGACATTCTTCTGCACCACTTTAGGGTGGGGGGCCGAGAGATGGTCAAAGCTATCTTTGTTGACCCATTAAATCTGAATCTCCTTCAGAACAAGAAAAGAAAAAAGATACTACACTAGAAGGAAGAAAAACATGAAATTGGTAAAATAATGAAATTCTAAGACAGCATAACTCACAGATTTCTAAGTTTCAGTAAAACTGAATTTTGCTCATTCTCTTAAATTGTTAACGCAAAAGAAAACAGTGAAAATAATCTCCATATTACAGATTTGTTCAGCCTTCATTTATTGCTTGATTTCTTAAATTGTGAGATTTCAGATCTAAATATTGCCAACAAGAAAAGCCTTAACTTAAGTCAAAGCCTTCTAAACCTAATTAATTCCATATCTTTCAAACCAGCTGAAGCTCTCTTTGCTAAGTAGTGGTAATTAGCTTGCAGTTTGCAGCAGAGAAACTCCTTCCACCCACCATCTCCCAAGATACCATGGCATGTCTTTGTCCATTTCAAGAGTGCTTTGTGTTGCAGGTGTCCACTAAATGAATTCTTAATAAACAACAAATAATCCCTCTCAAAACTTCAAGAGGCACTTGGTGGCAAATGTGGTCTTCAATTCAATCCTTAACTCAAAAAGACATTTGTCAGTAAAGGACTGATCTAAGTTTCCACTTCTACATGGATGTGTGCACACATAAGTGTATGTCTTTGGAGATCTTTCAAAAAGTGAAGGAGATTTGGTGTAATTTTATGATAAACACACATAAGCATGAGCTTCCAAAGCCAGTTATTCCTATATTCCAATAGGTCATTACTCATATAAACATTTGTCTCATGCTCCTTGTAAAAATCACAGCCACTTACTAACATCAATTAACACTTCAGTTTACTAATCCATTGGTTATAACATGCCTAGATGCCTTTGAGGAAATCCAGTAATTTCTGATTAACAGTTTCATGTGCTACCACCCAAACTCTGGAATGTGTTTCAGTAGGTATGTGGGGAAAATAGTGATAATCCCCAATGAAAACATATTTTTAATACTTACACTAGGTTGTAATTAAATCAATAAAAATAAAATAACAAAACAAAATAAATAAAATTAACTGGGTTCAATATATTAGAGAAGAATTCTTATTAATCAAGCAGTACCTACAAGAAGCTTTTTCCTGGTGATTTTCAGTTTTTCTGTAGCTGCTGCTAACCCAGCATTTGCTTGGGCCAATGCAGAATATTTTGGTTCTAGCACAAAATACACCTTGAAAAAGACATACAATATCAGTATATCAGACAAGAAGCTGGTCTCACATTCATTATAAAAACAAAAATTATTAAAGACTTTCAGATAACACTAGTAGTCTCTCATTACATGCTTTAGAGCCATCTTTCTACACAATAGTGAGACATGGAGATTCTCATTACTGACATAAACACTACAGGAGATTTGTTTATAGCTTATATAAGGATATCTTGAGCAGAACTGAATGCATCCTTAGTGGGTCTACTCTCCAACTAAAATTAATTTATATGTATCACTTTTGTAGTTTTAGAATAAAGGTGGAAATCAGACAGAAACTAAGTCTGAGTAGATTTCAACTAAAACTGATTAGGTTTTTACTATTTTGCAATGAAATTACAACAGGCTACAATACTAGGATGAACTACCTATCTTTCTTCACCACTGAACTTTCCTATATTGACACCCAGGCACAGAGACCAGCTGCTGCAAAGGATTTCGTATGAACATGATTTGGGTTGAAATCTGGATCCTTCAAGTAATGTTCCTTGACTTTCAGACAATTCAGAGGAATATGCTCCTTACCACAGTTGATTAAATCTTGTAAGAAGTTGCAATCCGTCAATCCTTTTCCATTTTTAAGAATCAGAAGTGAACACCTACTTTCATCACACAAGTAAAACTGGAATGCTTCACTAGCTTATTGTTTTAGAAATATTATGCAGTACAAAGCAAAAATATTTATCCCAAAAGCCTTAAGTATCCACCCTAACATACACATTTTGAGATTTTATTATTTGCTCGAGGAATTTGGCAGACATGAGATAAATATTAGGAAATGTTCTCACTTTAACTTTTCTTCTGGTTTTGCAATTAATATATTCCAGTGGCACACAGAAAAGAACAATGCAAATTGAAAGAAAATGAAGTTGCATTTTAGTTTCTTTTTCTATGGCTCTAATTTCTATCTATTCTTTTGAACTCTCATCTTAGGTATTCTATGATGTCCCACTGATCATTACCTTTCCCATAAAGACTTTTGTGGCTTTCCAGCTTTGGTCTTTGGGCATTTTCCCTTTATATGGCTGTAAAACTGTTACTGCAGCAGTAACACCAATTACAGCCATTGGTAGGTTGGTGAAGGCTTTCACTTCTGTAAGATTAACCTGAAAAAAGATCAAAGGAACAGGTACAGAGCTGTGCAACAACAGTTGATTTGTTCTAGAGAAGCTTTCTGATTACCAGCATACAACTCTCAGCTCTTCAAAGACTATTTTATGTGGTGAAAGTTCTAATGATCACAGTTCTTCCCTGCTCTGCAAACCTATTGCATCTTGGTCAAGTAAGGTTAATTCCTCAGTTCCAAGTCTGAAATTGTAGGCCTCAACAAGGGAGAAAACAAGAAAGAGGGAAATATTCTGTGAAAACGTTATACTTAATTTCAGGCTTAGAAATTAAACAGATACCAATCTAAGCAGATTTGTCAAAACACTTAGTTGGCCTTAACAGTGGTTTAGATCAGTGACTTTATATCAGCTAGCATCAGTTTTAAGTGAAATTTGAGGGCCTCCACAATTTTTTTGCAATGATTTAATTATCTGCTTAAAAGCTATTTCATTGGTGCGAATCTGTCAGGTAGAGTGACCCTGAAGGGTGTTCTGTGTCTGTCATCTGCAGTTGCTTATTTGGAAGATTGTCATACACATTTTTAAGAATACCTTGCTTGGGGTTGAAGTTAGTTATATTTAGTTCATCTTGATCCTTCTACCTTGTGCTTATCTCATAGGCTCATATCCTGCCAGGTCTTGCTTAAACAAAGTCTAATTACAGAGGAAAAGAATATTACAGTGATCAAGATGTTAATACTTGGACCAAGCACTAAGCCTTGACAGTAACAAGCCTCTGTAAGAATTTAAGATCCTTACAAAACATTTTTCTACAAGTGTTGGGGCACTTTCCGTGCCTACATTTATTGCATGGGACACACACAGACACTGCTTGTGGAAATAATAAAGATTAAAACTCAATATGCATTACATTACAAATGACAAGTTACTAATAAAGTTAAATATTTCCTCACCTATTATGATGTAGCTTTTAGGATGAAATTCCCAATATTTATTGGTTTGCATCCTAGCCACAACATATTTTTAAAATTAAATACTGCATATACACTGCTCTGGTTTCTATTTTCTCTAATATTGTTTGAGACCCATGTTATTGAAATTAATTTAAAGCAAATACTTTGAACCACACAGAGACAAATGCTCCTTCTGTTACAGTTTTTAAGGATGTAAGCAGGTGAACAAGTATTACATTTATATTACGTAGCGATTCTAACATGACAAGGTGTTTTCTATTAAAACAAACAAAGTCACATGAGTTGCATTACAGTTCTGTGTCTCTTTATTTTTATGCTTAGTTATTCTTTGCTTACTGATGCCCAAAGAAATAATGGGACAAGACTTCTTTTTAAGGGAGGAAAAATTAAACCAAGCAGATAATCAGATAAGCCTTAGGACAGTATTTCTCAAACCTACTTCCCCTCACAGTGAGATGGAGGAGCTTTTTATCCTTGTTTCCATAAATTTAGTACCCTTCACCCATATATATACCTACACCATGCTCTACATGTGTTCTTCCTTTGAAGTGTGGGTCCCATTTTGAAAGACAATGGCATATGCATCTCCATCTGTAAATCACTCTGGCTGGCATCATTCAGAGCACACAGATGGCAGTAAAATGACAACAGTGTAAATGCCCACTATTTTAAAACCTTTGCAGTGTCACATTCATAGTCAGACACTTGTTGACTACTATACAGATATGTAGTTTGCCACATTTATGGGACATCCAGACTGACCCCACTTTTCCTGATGAGTCTCATCTAAATTGACTTCCACTCTTTGCCTTTTCTTAAGTAATGCTTCACTCTGAGGCAATATCTCTAAGGTATTTACTGGCTTAATGTAACACTCAGAAAAAAAAAATCCTTATAAACTCCCATTTGAATATAGAATAGGAAAGCCAAATGAATTTTTGAAAGGGTGACAAATTTTAATCAGTTATGAAGAATTATTTAGCTGGAAGATGTATTCTCATTTACTAATTTTATTTTATAACAAAAAGTATAGAAGACTAATATTTAGAAACTATAATCAGCCCTATGAAATAGTTTTAGATTCATGGTAGCACAAAATGACACTTTCATTTCTGATGCAAACATTTCAGAAGTGCAATAAAACAATGAACAGGGGAGTACAGTAATCATTAGTGTCATGTGCTGAGCTTCATTCCAGAAACAAAGTGTCCCAAAGATGTGATTATCCCATAACTCACTCTGTGTGTTTCACCTAGTTGCTTAATGAAGCAATTAGAATTGTGTGAAGGGTGTATTTTAATCATCCAAATCCATCAGAAACGTATGGAACAAATGTAGGAAAAGAACCACTGAAAAGTGGTTGGTAGGATGTTGAGCTGTTGGATCCAATTTGTGCAAGTTTAATTAATTGCACTATTTGGACTTTAAACTTCATAGCAAATTTTAAGTCCTGTATAAGAGATGGATCGTCACAAGTCCATAATTAGCATAATCCAGAGACATGTAAAGTCCTGATCCAGTCTTACCACTTTTCCCTCAATAAAATTAGGATAAGACACAAGGTCATTAGAACAATATTAAACATCACCTAATAATAATAAGCCTCAGAGAAACGAACTAGAAGAGAATGAAAGACCATTCTCATTGTTCAGACAGCATAGTTTCCCCTGTTTATCAGTATCTAAAACTTGTTTACGAAGTTCTTGGCAACTTGACTTTCACATAGATCAAAATCAGGCATTAACAACTACTAGAAGTCAAATGAAAATGTCTTTCTACAGTATTGATAAATGACATGATGTACATCATATTTCATAGTAAAATGCCAGAGTTGAATGAGCCCATCATTCTTCAATGGCAGAGGAATTTCAGTTTGCAGCATTCCTTACTGCTGTTTTATTTCAAAAACTTTTCTTGTAACAGTAGATTAAAATTTTAGAGTCCAGATGAAATGATGCATATATAGAATTAATAGAATAATTCTGTGGTGAGGACTAATGCATTTAAAGTTTTGTTTCCAGCATGGATGTTGGTAACTAATGTTAATAGGCTGAAGTGAGAGCAAAAAGGAGCTCGACACTGATGTCACATATTCTTAGGAATGCTATTGTAATCTTAAAATTCAAGGTTTGCACCTTGTAATATTGCAAGATACTGGAATGAACTTTTGTACCAATTGAGTTGTTCAATTTACCTAGAGCCTCAATGCCTTTAGAAATCTGAAGTGCTCAGAGATGACTCTCTGACATTTACTGTATTACAAATAGGTTCAATTCTCAAGATCCACATCCATTAAATGCTTGAATGAGCTCAGTATTTATTGTTCTTTCATCTCATTAAAATAGCTAAAAGGTTGGGAAACGGCATAACGTAAAGAAAGGTCAAGTGGTAATCACAATGTGAAATGCCGTTACATGCATAAGTATAATAATTATTTTGACTTTATACTCCCTGGAGAGGAAGTTGTTCAAAACTGCTCACCTGAAAAGGTTTATTTTGTGCTAAATATAGCTCAACAGCACTAAATGGAGGAATTAGACTGACCTTTTGCTCCTTAGTGTCTGCAATGGCTCTTTCTAGGCTCACTTTCTCAGTCTGAAACCCTGTCTTAGCAATCAACCAAACCTTCAGCATCTTGATTTCTCAGTTGCAGTTCTGCCTCTTGAGAAGCAAGTTTGGATTTTAGATCTTCTACCTACAGGGCAAAAGGTAATGCACTACTTGGGACAAGGGTCATTAGCTGTGGTTCTGGAAAGATTATACCACATGATCCGCAAAAAGCTGAACTGAAAACAAAATTCATGTTTCGTGGGTCTCAGTACTAAATGTGTTGCCTTTTCCCTTTTTTTTGTTGACAGATCCTTGCTTGCAGCTCACAGAATTTTGTTGACATGAAGAATTTGATAAGAACAGCCTAACTGCTCCCACGAGGGGCCCCACAGCTCCCCTGAGATGCTCAGATCCAGCTACTGGGGCTGTATTTGTAATCAAGTGTCTCAGCTGTCCAACAAGGCCCAGCTCTGCATCCAGAAAAGCTACAAATAGAAAAGCAAAAGGACATTGTGGAAAACAATTAGTGATCACTGTGAGCAGGTAATTCCAGCAGAGGCTTGCTGAAAGACAGACTCAGAGACTGATGAACAAAGTCTGTCAGTTTGTTGAAACAGTAATTTATTTCCTGCCAGGAGAGAAACCCTCATCAAAATATCCAGTGAAATTATCTTTCCATGTTTTTAGGAATTGTTTCCGATACCTGTTTTTTTTTTATTTTTCCCCCACTCCTCCAAGCATTTTATCTGCAACCATCCATGATAAAAAGTTATATTTTAACCAAAGGGGGTTCTCATTAACTGGATCTGATAGGCATGATAAGATAAACATTAGAGGGCTTAAGCTTTCATCACATGGAAGGTCTTGAGGGCTTTTCTTTGGTGGGCTCCTGAAATCTTACAAAACCTACAAAACCTACCTGTTCAAAATTTGACCATTTTGAAATTATAAGACAAAGCTGTGATACTGACTTGTAACAGATGACTGTAAAGATCCCAAATCTCTCCTCTCAACTTTTCAATTTATTTGAGTTGACTTTATGTCTTTTTCTTTCTGAAAAAACCCTAAATGGTGATAATCTTGTGTAGAGCTCTGGAGTGTAGGATAAAAATAACTTGATGTTCAAGCACCTGGCTAGATAGGAGCTGTAGCTCTGCCTGTTGGCACAGCATACAGCACTTAAAATTGCCAAATTATCTTTTGGCCATCAACAAATTATAATTCAGAGGAAAAGAGTGCTTTAGTAACATACTAGCATGGGATACCTCATTAAAAATAAACTTTAAAAAAAAGTCACTTTTCTTCCCTTGACCATTTATTTTTGTATGTCTTCAGATGGCAAAGGGGAAACAAGGCAGCCAGCTCACATTATTAATCTCATGGAGTAGCTCCAAGATGCAACATTACGCAAAGACTGCAACTGAGATGTTCATTTGCAGTTTTTTTATGAGAAGACACAGACTTTAACTTTTAATTAAGAAATCTCTGGATTACAGCTATTCTACAGCATGTGCTAAAGGGATCATGGAACACCTGGGGGGGTGAGATGGGGGAATGCCTTCAAAGAAGGTTTCCATCCCTTCTTTGTTGACTGCCCAGCCACAAAAGAACCGTAGGCAGAAGCACTGGCTGGGGGCTAAGTGGCCCTAGCCGCACATGGAGGTAACAGCTGACGGAAAGACCCTACACTTATTTCTGCTGCTTTCATTACCCTTCAGCTGGTCACTGGCCACACACAAAATCCTTGCTTACAGAACTGCATCTTCTCTCTCTATGATTTGGCTTTTACTGCATCACTCAGTTCCCTTTCCACCCTTTTCTGTGGCCCCACTATACTCCCCTTTCCTTCAGACTGTCCTTGCTCAAATGGATCTCTCTTTCCAAAGACAGATGAAGAGCTCAGAGAGCTTGTACATGAAGAAAAAAATACACCCTAGGTTCCAAAATCAGATAATTTCAATGAAATGCAAAAATGCCACCTCACAACTTATCAGTCTAATGAAAAGGTACTGCAACAACTATTTTATTTGCAATAAACCCAAGATTATTTTATAAAGAATGAAAGAAAAGTTTACAACTTTCACAGTTTGCCTGAAAAGCTGCTGCCCTCAGCTTCTGCATGACATTCAAGAAGTGCTCCATTGTCTGACAGCTCCTTACTTTTCTTCTCTAGAACAATCTCATAAAGTATGGTTTGCTCCAGAAAACTCTTGAGTGGTTAGTTGTTTCATATAAAGGATGACTCATCCCCAAAATCAGTCTACTCCAAACACAATTTCGTCAGCATGTAAAAAACATTAAAGCAAAATGAGCTTTCCCCAACATTTTTGCATGTAAATTAACTAATTCTGCACTGGCATTCATTAAGTCTTCATCACCACAGAAGCTCAGTGCTTCAATATACTTTGTTTCTTTGTTTGTTTTTAATAAATACTCCTAAATGCTAAAGCCAGAGATTAAATCAGTCACAATGCTGCTATATACAAAGTTAATACTATATGGATTTTCTATTTCACCTCTGGAAATCCTGTATAGGTTAAAGAAAATCAATAGAGGGGTTACTCTATTCATACTGATCCCCACATACCTCATGTACCATCAAGTTCCTATTCTGAGTGAGTGCATTTATGCCATTAACTTCAGATTGAACAGAATTGGACTCCGTGATTTAGATTTATGAAGTTGTACAAGTCCCTGGTCATCTGTGCTTGTCAAAGTCAGTGATAAACTATTATGAGAGCAGGATGCAACCAGTGTGGAGTGTTTCTGAAAGCTGAATCTCTACATACCATAAAATATTAGAAAATCAGCAACACTTCTGTGTTGAAGAAACCTTCTGTCAGTTTCAGGGGCTATTTGACCAGAAAAGTAGTTATGGCTTAACAGAGTTTAGAGTCAGTCTGAGCTGTGACAGTTGCCACAACAGAGTTCAGAGTGACTCTGAGCTGTGACAGTTGCCACAACAGAGCTCAGAGTCACTCTGAGCTGTGACGGTTGCTCCTCTACCTTATTTGCCACCCAGGCATCAAAACATAAAATGTACCTCAAGCACCAAACGAATCTCAGCCCACTGCAGGAAGGACTCCAGAGTGGTCCTGTGACCCCAAGGGGCTGAGCTGGGTGCTGCACAGCATTGCATGATGTTTCCCTCCCAACAGTGAGACTGGAAAACTCTTTACATACTATGTGACCATCAAAACAGGCTAGGCATATTTAAAACACCTCCAGATGGTCATTTAGTCATGTATTTCTGAGCAAAATGCAGAGATAAAATACCTGTCTTTATTCACCTCTCATAGCAAAAAGAAAGGTAGTTTCAGGACTGAAGTTCAAAGGTCCTTCTTCTAATTTTTTTGAAAACTGGATTAGCAAATACAAGATACTTCACAACTACTATGAAATAGAGTATACCTCAGGATAAAGGTAAAATAAGAAATACCCCAAATTAATTTTTGTTTCTTTTAAAGGATGCTGTCTATATTACTAAATATAGGCATATACATACGTAAGCAAGAGTACCGTATGTGCAAAATTGCCAGGGAAATACTAAGGAAACCCATATAACTCCATCACTGTAACTAACTTCCATTTTGTCCTCTACGACTTCCAGCATACTTAAAGTTTATAATTTGTGGAGTCATATCTCCCTCATTTTAATGATTATTTATTGCATTCTGTACAAGACAAACCCAGTTCAATTAATCAAGGGAAGCCTAAAAATCAATTAATATGAATTAAATGAGCTACACCAACTCTTAGAAAAGTGACACATAATTTACCGAAGCGTTGTCAATAATGCTTAGGGAACTTTGGGAAAATTGCTCATGAGTGGCTGTTGATGTAGTTAAATGTTTTAAAACTACATCATTAATATTACAATCAAGTTGGTGCAGAAAGACTTGCCATTTTTCTCAGTAAGAAACCTCTTTATTTTCTTGTGACTTTTAAAAGCTAGTTTAGAAGAATACTTATTTCACCTATGATTACAAAATCAGAAATTAAAACAAGAACTAAATAATGATTTGCATTTAGGGAAAGCAGAAATAAATTACTTTACAAATTTAAAAAATCAGAATATCATTAGAGGAGGCAAAGCTAGAATAAATTCATTTTACAAAGATGGATTGCAAAAGCAAGGCTAGTCAGCAGGAACAGCAGGAATGGACATTTTATGCAGATTTGAGCAGTGCTTGGTTTACAGCTGAAATGTGTTTCAGCCTTTTTCTCCTTTTTCCATTGTTTGTGACATATGCACCCTGCAGTACAGCTCTTCCTAGTGAAAGGCAACCTCCTTACACATGATCCTTATGAGAGGTCTCTACTTGCAGCCCTGAAAAGCCCTCTAACAACAATTTCATTTGTAAATCAGTGAGGGAAGGAGTGGGTTCTGGTAGAGCTGGAAGTGGCCCTAGACAACTTGTTTCAATGGGGTAAAATAACTATTGTTATCAAGCTTAACAAAATAGCACAGCATGGTAGACACACCAAGCTAGAGAGCAGCAGGTTGTAATTCACAATGGTTTTCAGAAAACACTAATCGTTCCCTAACAGACCTCTTTGAGGGTTGGTCTTCCCTGCATTTTCCATTTGTCACTTTCTCTTATGATAAGGTCAGCGGTGACAGCACTTCCTGACATTAACAGCTGTGGCTTTTAAAAGGGTCATTGTGGAACTACTAATTGCAGTAATTTCATTAGCATAAATTATTCATTCTGACATTCATTTATCTCCAGGTTGATTTTTATTTTTTTAATATTACATTCTACTTTTCAATATATGCCCATTCAGGGTTGTAGGCAAGCAAATTATTATTGCTAATTTAGCATTCTTTATTAAAAAAAAAGCAAACAAAAAAAAGCATTGATACAGTAACAAAACCTGATTTAACTGCAGATCACTACAAAGCATAAAGTAGTTTGAAGCCAGTAATGAATATTAGGCTGGTACAAATCAAAACCATTCAATAGTCCTAAAGACATATGAGCAGTAAGTCTATATACAATCTGAAACAGAATATAAGGGTGAAGTCTGCTCATTAACCGATGTCCTTCTGAGTGAAAAGGGGCTCATGAGATTCATTTACAATAGGTATCATAATTAGGGAGGATCACTTGTTCTTTCTGTTCAGACACTTTCAATACAGGGCAGAAGGGATGTTCAGAGCATCCTTCAATAGCACAGGTAGAAGCTGAAGCTTCCCATCTCCCTGCTGAGACCAATCTGCCCCCTTCTTTCTCTGGATAAACTATCTTCCTAGAAATGTATCTTGTTTTGAAGATAAAGAGTTGGAGAATCTAAGACTTCCTTCTCAACTCTCATATTCACCATGAATTTTTTATGGTTTTCTCTCAGCATTTAAACCCAGAAACTTTCAATTTTTTGTTAAAGCAATGTAGATATGGTGTCATATTTGTACTGCACCTTTAGGAGGAAAAACTCAAAGCTCATTTGCTTAACTTCAAGCTATCCTAATTTAAAATAATCTGTAATATTCCTATACAGTGCTGAACAAACAAAAAAAAAACAACTATCGATTACTATTTCTGTATTTTTGAAAACAATGAAAAAGGACAATTAAGAGCTAAAGTGCCAATTATGCCAAAATATCACTTAGTGACAGACCTCACTCCGCTCATTGTAAGGGATAGCATAATACAGTATGCTTCAGAAGTCTAGAAATACATGAGCTCTGGCTAACAAGTTTTCTGTACTAAGAGAGAAAAAAAAGGCTTTCCTGAAATACCTAAAATGGAGCAAGTGAAATGACATATTAACACACAGCATTAGGGATGAGAGAAGGAAAGGAAACCACCTCCAGTAAGTCTTCAATGGAGAGGGGATGGCTGACTGCAGCTAAGATTCCCTCTTCTTCAGGTCATCTTCTTCCACCGCATCACTCTCATTCTTTTCATAACCTAATACACCTCTGCAGCTCTCCTGTCCACCCTGCCTTTACTAACTGTTTTTCTGTGGTCATTCTCCCTTCATGTATCTTTTACTCCTCCTCAGGCTCTCTGCTGCACCCCTCTCCTACATTCCTGGCTCAGTTTTGGTTTTTTTCTGCCTCTCTCCTGCCATAATACTGTCATAGTTTCTCTGTTATTTCAACAACTCTGGGTTCACTTCTTCCATGACTTTAAAATCTTTCCCCTGCCTCCTCCTCCTACTTTTCTGCATTCTGTTGTTTTGCCTGACATGACTCAGACACCCATTACCTCTTTACATATGTTGATGACACACAAACCTTATCTCGTTTTCAATAGACTAACAAAATGTTATTTTGTTAGTTGCCATTTATTTCCCTTGCTGGGGACTGAACAGGAAAGGTATTTAAAAGGAGCAGTTAACACCAATGTGAAAAAGAAACTCATCAACAGTTTCTTGGGTGGGTGAAATCTTTCTTAAATGTCTAAAAAATTAATTACAAAGGAATGTAATGCTTAAATTTAAAGAAAGTTTAAAAACCCTAAAAAAAGGTTCAATATTAAAAGTAATTCTGATGAATAGGAGAAAAATGTAATTATTTAAGGATCTGAAAAAAAATAATATATTAAGTCAAAATAAATTCTATTATTTCTATCCCATCCAGATGGGATGCACCCGCGGGTGCTGAGGGAACTGGCGGAAGTCATTGCTAGACCACTCTCCATCATCTTTACCAAGTCTTGGGAAACGGGAGAGGTGCCTGAGGACTGGAGGAAAGCAAATGTCACTCCAGTCTTCAAAAAGGGCAAGAAGGAGGACCCGGGTAACTATAGACCGGTCAGCCTCACCTCCATCCCTGGGAAAGTGATGGAGCACCTTATCCTTGGTGCCATCTTAAGGCATATCAAGGATAAGAGCGTTATGAGGGGCAGTCAACATGGCTTCACCAGGGGGAAATCATGTTTGACCAATCTCTTAGCCTTTTATGAGGAAATAACACGGTGGATGGATGATGGCAGAGCGGTGGATGTGGTCTACCTTGACTTCAGCAAAGCATTTGACACAGTCTCCCACAGCATCCTCACAGCTAAATTGAGGAAATGTAGTCTGGATGATCAGGTAGTGAGGTGGACTGTGAACTGGCTGAAGGAGAGAAGCCAGAGAGTTGTAGTCTATGGGGCTGAGTCTAGTTGGAGGCCTGTAACTAGTGGAGTGCCTCAAGGGTCAGTACTGGGACCAGTATTATTTAATACATTCATCAACGATTTAGATGAGGGAATTGAGTGTACTATCAGCAAGTTTGCTGATGACACTAAGCTGGGAGGAGTGGCTGACACGCCAGAAGGCTGTGCTGCCATCCAGCGAGACCTGGACAGGCTGGAGAGTTGGGCAGGGAATAACTTGATGAAATATAACAAGGGGAAGCGTAGAGTCCTGCATCTGGGCAGGAACAACCCCAGGTTCCAGTATAGGTTGGGGAACGACCTGTTAGAGAGCAGTGTAGGGGAGAGGGACCTGGGAGTCCTAGTGGACGACAGGATGACCATGAGCCAACACTGTGCCCTTGTGGCTAAGAAGGCCAATGGCATCCTGGGGTGTATTAGAAGGGGGGTGGTTAGTAGGTCGAGAGAGGTCCTCCTTCACCTCTACTTTGCCCTGGTGAGACCGCATCTGGAATATTGTGTCCAGTTCTGGGCCCCTCAGTTCAAGAAGGACAGGGAGCTGCTGGAGAGAGTCCAGCGAAGGGCAACAAAGATGATTAAGGGAGTGGAGCATCTCCCTTATGGGGAAAGACTGAGGGAGCTGGGTCTCTATAGTTTGGAGAAGAGGAGACTGAGGGGTGACCTTATAAGTGTCTATAAATATATAAAGGGGGAGTGCCACGAGGATGGAGCCAGGCTCTACTCAGTGGCAAACAATGATAGGACAAGGGGTAATGGGTACAAACTGGAACACAAGAGGTTCCACTTAAACTTGAGAAGAAACTTCTTCTCAGTGAGGGTGACAGAACACTGGAACAGGCTGCCCAGGGAGGTTGTGGAGTCTCCTTCCCTGGAGACATTCAAAACCCGCCTGGACACATTCCTATGTAACATTATCTAGGTGTTCCTGCTCCGGCAGGGGGATTGGACTAGATGATCTTTCGAGGTCCCTTCCAATCTCTAGCATACTGTGATACTGTGATACTGTGATCTTTTCTCCACGTAACCTACCATTTTCTCTTAAATAAATGGGAATCCGTAAGTTGGTATAGCATTAAAAATTAATCCAAGTGGATTTCACACCCACATAGCTCATCAGACAACAAATAAGTGTCCTAATAACACTTCAAGTCTCTTACGAGCTATTAAAGTAGAAGGAACCGATGGAAAATACGAATGCAAGGATTTGCAAGCATCTCTCTTTCCCTTGCTTTCCTACAGGAGGCATCCGTGTGCCGCTGGAGCACGAGTAGGAGACAGCAGCGAGGAAGCCTCTGGAGGAGTCAGAAGGAAGGGGAAAGGTCCACAGGGTACCTTGGAAGCAGCCTCAGGCATCCCTGCAGATTTCCCCTCTCCACCTTCATTTCAGGATAACTCCATTGTATTTTGTATGGCTTTGAATGGAGGACAAATGCTGTAAATGCATAATCTCCTATGCAGAAATTTGCCTGCGTACTGATGCTACCATTGACTAAAACCAGATGGTTTAAGCCAGACAGTTTAAGCATTGGGCATTCCTGAAATCTCCAGTTTCTTATGATTAAAAATCCCACACACAAATAAATGGTCCCAAATACAATAGCACTCCAGAATGAAACTACTGCAACTGTAGTCACTGAAGGAAAGTAAATGGTTTCTAGATCTATGTGAATTACTCCACCAGCAAACACCTGAGCAGTCTCACTGCCAGCATGACAGTATTGCCCCATGCTGGGTGGGACAAGAGAGGCAGCTGGCTAAAACTCTTAGAAGAATATGAGAATACTCCTTTCACCTGAAAGGAAACTCACTAATGCATGACTTTTTTTCCTGGAAACCGACAAGTTACACTCCAAATCAATTGGGAAGCAAAAGAGAATAACTGCCCAGATACTAAAACTCTAAATGTATTTTCTATGTGGTTACAGGGGAAATTTCTACCTGCTTAGCTGCTGAACAGAGGGAAAGCACTTCTTTATTTAGTCTGGACTGTGCACTGCAGTATTTCATTTGCTACAGCACCAGTGAATATATTTAACTGCATTGAAAAGGGTTAAATAAATTACATATCTATGAGAACCAAAAAAACCTAGAACTGAAGGATTCTGCTATGAATTATGAATGTCTCTTCTTTCCCCCTCACTTCTCTGCCTGCGTTAGCCCTCTAAACTGCTGAAGGGTCTGGGCAGTGACATGGCATAAAAATTTAGCTTTAGCAGGGGTGAGCTCAAACAACGCTGAAGGCAACAAGTATGCAAGAAGGACTAAAAGCAGCATTGTCTTTTTCAGCTTACTCAGTTACTGATATTTCAATGATCTGTTGCTTTCTTAGAAGACTGATGAGCTTGAAACGCTGTATTTTGACCCCCTCAGCTTCCTCAATGAACCTCCTGCTGACAGTGGAGTCAGTCTGATGGAGCCTCCTGCTGGCACTCATGAAACCAGTCAATTGTGGTGCAGTTAACTACGGCTGGGAACTTCCGAGCAATCTTTCTGAGCGTGGCACTGGTGGGAGAGAAACAGAATGATCTGTGGAGAGGAGGGAGGGAAAAGGGAGAGAAAATAATTCCACAGCAACTTGAGGCAATCAAAGACAGGCACGCAACGAACCACGGCCTGGTGCTGGCCAGTGCAACACAAGACTCCAAACCAAAGGTGGCAGTTAATAAATTTCACCAGTTACCTTGCACAAATAGGTTTTACTGCCTTTCCACTGTACAAACACAGCTTCCTTCACCTCTGTCCTGGTTTCAGCTAGGATAGAGTTAATTTTCTTCCTAGTAGCTGTTGCAGTGCTGTGTTTTGGCTTCAGTCTGAGAACAATGCTGATAACACACCAATGTTTCAGTTGTTGCTCAATAGCACTTACTCTGAACAAGAACTTTTCAGTTTCTCATGCTCTGACAGTGAGGAGGGGCATAAGAAGCTGGGAGGAAGCAGAGACAGGACAAAAAAGCCAAAGAGGTATTCCATACCACAGAACTTCATGCCCAGTATATAAACTGGGGGCAGTTCCCCAGAAGAGACTGACAAGTATTGGTCAGCAGGTGAGCTGATTGGTGGGTGACGTGGTGAGCGATTACATTGTGCATCATTGCTGTTTACTGTTTTTTTACTTTCCATTTTCAGTTTTATATTCCTTCCCCTTGTTATTTCCCTTATCACTATTATCATTAGTAGTAGTAATAATATATTGTACTTTAGTTATTAAACTATTCTTATCACAACCTGTGGGTTTTACATTCCTTTGATTCTTCTCCCCATCCCACCCTGGGGAGGGAAGAGGTGGGTAAGGCTGCATGGTGCTGAGTTTACCAGCTGGGTCTAAACCGCAGCACCTTCTTTCTACATTGGTATCACTCAGTTTGATAGTTACAAATAATAATGCAACCACAGGGTCGGGCTGGCACACAGTCAGCCAGAATGTGCATATTCAGCTGATCATGATGACACAAAACCAGGTCTCCAGTTTCTAGATCTATTCAAACCACTTCCTGCCACTTTAATAAGCACTGCAACCCTGTTTAAAGAACAGATAGAAGAGGAGATCTGGATCTTAGTTTGTATGTGAATTTTTAGGGGCTATTCTTTAAAAAGTGGAAAGGGATATCTGAACAAGGATAGTCTAAAATATTCAAAGGAAAATAAATCTGCGATTGGCTTTTAACATCACCAGGCCTACTCAAAGCAACTCACATTTGGGAAGGAAGGGTTATCCTGGTCTCTCAGTTGTATCTGCGGACCTACTTAATGCAGTTAACATGTGCTTTGGCCATTGTATTTGCTTTTGGCTAAATAGCAAAATGATAGACATCAGGCTGTTAAGGCAGGACTGGAGTCTTTCCTATTTACTTCTTTTTAAATGAACTGTATTTGCTATATGGGGCTTCTAAAGCCATATAGCATCAATATTATTAATTCCAATAGGAAACATACAAATGGTATCAGAAAGGTTTATCATTTTCCCAACAGCCACAAGAGTCAGGACAGAGCCCAGTCAGGCAGCCAATGAAGTGATAGGTTTATTCTGCCTCTGGATTAATCTGAAATTGCCATTACCTGTTGAGAGAAAACTGGATAAAAAAGGAAGAAGAACAGAAAGTTGAAAGAAAATAAGGAAAAAAAAAAAAAAGAAGACAGGAGGTTGACCTGTGATGATACTTCATTGGGGCTTGGGTTTTAAAGCAGTCAGAGAGGAGAAAGTGATGAGAAGATAATGAAAGCTGAGGCACTGGAACAGGTTGCCTAAGGAAGTTGTGAATGCTCCATCCCTGGCGGCGTTCAAGGCCAGGTTGGGCAAAGCCTTGGGTGACATGGTTTAGTGTCAGGTGTCCCTGCCCATGGCAGGGGGTTTGGAACTTGATGATCTTAAGGTCCTTTCCAACCCTAACTATTCTATGATTCTGTGATTCTATAGTAACAGTGGAAAAAGCTTCTGTGGTATCTGGGAAGAAGATTACACAGAAAATGGAAAAGACTTGCCACTCTTCTTTCATGGTTTCTAAAAATACACCTCTACACTGGAAAATGCAAGTCAACAATTTCTGTAATTAACCTTTAGTTATGAGCAAAGATGAATAAGTTCCAGTAGAACTAAGTCAAAACAAGAAAACCTTTTGCCCTTATTCAGAAAAACCTCCTGAAGGGAAACTGTTTCCTGAGACATTTATACATGTTGTAAAGCTGGGATTTTATGCCGAATCACAGGGTATGTTCTTTTTTTATTCCCACCCTTTTGTAGCCAAATGGTGACAAGCACTGGTCAGGCTGTATCTCACAAAAATACTTCTTCCTCATGGCTGCACAAACTGAATGGGATTTTGAGATTATTGAAAGCTTCATATCAATTACACCATTTTCAGAAGTGTGGGATATGGCCAAGTATAACACAAATACCCTATTAATTTTCTAGGTATCCATGCATGATCTTTATAGATGAGCAACTCATCTACCGGTCGGGCTGGGGGGGCAAGTTATCATTTGCAAAAGGTCATTTACTTTGAATGTGTTCAGCATGAAAAGGCAAATAGCAGAAAGGTCCATGTAGAAATCCATTTGAGTCAAGTGTTGAAAACTATACTAAAATTGTACAAAGACCAAAGATCTTAGATCTTACAGGAAATTTTTATCAGGCTGATGAGAAAAAAGGGCAAACACAGAAGGAACAGAATATAAGAATACAAGGCCTCTATTCCAAGACTCTGAATGAGAAGAAATGCACCTGAAGAATAAATGAAGAACCTGCTAGGTCTGTTCATAGCTCTGAAAGATTTTGGACACTTCTGTGAGTTTTCTTAAATTTCTTCTCTGTTACTGCGATGTAACCTTAGACGTTGTCTCTCCATCTTATTTATGTCACCTAATTTTTTAAGTTCTATATTCAGTTATAATATCAGTGGCATGGTGACCAATATTGATGCTTAGAACACCTCATTTTCTCCTCTCTTATTCCTCTAATAGCCTCTAAGCTTCTCAGATCTGCATTCCTGACATGATAGCAGGAGTAACAGAGAACCTCGAGGTATCTGTGCCATGATTCTCACAAGTTCCCTTGTTATAGCAGTTGTGCCAAACTGAATCTATCACACCTCCAAAGCTGCAAACCATACACAGTCTTGATAGAAGTTACATCTTCTACACCCTCCTACACTGCTCACATTGCCCATATTTGGACTTAAATATTTAAATACTGGACTGCAAGAAGGGTACAAATCAAAGTCTTGGGCCATTTGAAAACACAAATAAAAATCTAGCATTTCCTTAGTCTTGTACCCTCATTTTATCATCCCTATATATTAAAATTTTGTTTGGAATGATTATTATTTATTCATTTTTTATATCAATCTTTTGTTGAACTTCAGGGAATCATAGAATCAAAATAGTTAGGGTTGGAAAGGACCTTAAGATCATCTAGTTCCAAACCCCCTGCCATGGGCAGGGACACCTGACACTAAACCATGTCACCCAAGGCTTTGCCCAACCTGGCCTTGAACACTGCCAGGGATGGAGCATTCACAACTTCTTTGGGCAACCCATTCCAGTGCCTCACCACCCTAACAGTAAAGAACTTCTTCCTTATATCCAATTTAAACTTCCCCTTTTTAAGCTTGAACCTGTTACCCCTTGTCCTATCACTATAGTCCCTAATGAATAGTCCATTCCCAGCATCCCTATAGCCCCCATTCAGATACCCCAACTTTCTCAGCCTATCTTCATACAGGAAGTGCTCCAGTCCCCTGATCATCCTTGTGGCCCTCCTCTGGACTTGTTCCAACAGTTCCATGTCCTTTTTATGTTGAGGACACCAGAACTGCACACAATACTCCAGGTGAGGTCTCACGAGAGCAGAGTAGAGGGGCAGGATCACTTCCTTCGCCCTGCTGGTCACACGCCTTTTGATGCAGCCCAGGATACGGTTGGCTTTCTGGGCTGCAAGCGTACATTGCTAGATCATGTTCATTTTCTCATTGACCAGCACCCCCAAGTCCTTCTCCGCAGGGCTGCTCTGAATCTCTTCTTTGCCCAACCTGTGGCTGTGCCTGGGATTGCTCCAACCCAGGTGTAGGACCTTGCACCATGTAGGACCATGGTTAAACTTCATAAGGTTGGCATCAGCCCACCTTACAAGCATGTTGAAGTCCCTCTGTATGGCATTTCTTCCCTGCAGCGTATCAACCAAACCACACAGCTTGGTGTCATCGGCAAACTTGCTGAGGGCGCACTCAATCCCACTGTCCATGTCAGCGACAAAGATGATGAATAAGACCAGTCCCAACACCGATCCTTGACGGACACTGCTTGTTACTGATCTCCAGCCGGACATTGAGCCATTGACCACAACTCTTTGTGTGCGGCCATCCAGCCAGTTCTTTATCCACTCAGTGGTCTATCTATCAAATTGATGTCTCTCCAATTTAGAGACAAGGATGTCATGTGGGACAGTGTCGAATGCTTTGCACAAGTCCAAGTAGATGACATCAACTACTCTACCCTTGTCCATCAGTTCTGTAGCCCCATCACAGAAGGCCACCAAATTGGTCAGAAGGTGCTTTCTTTATCGAATGTAATTTGTAGGGAGTGATTTAAAAGAACTACTTTTATATATAAGGCACTGGATTACTTTATATAAATTGGAGGTCCCTGTGAAGATAATGCTGACCTTTCATAATTTTTTACTTTTAAATTTACCTTAGCATCTAAATTCTAGATTTACTAAGTTATACCCAGAACTTGTCTGTTCTCACCTTGTCTTTGTCTCAAAAAAACCCCAAAAAAAACCCCATAAACAAATCCTGAAAGTTTTAAAGTTTACATTATAGTCATACATTCTAATCTTTATTCTAATCTCCTGCTTATTCAGGAGAGTACTATTGGATCTCACATAAACAACTATAGAACACAGAAGCTTCTCAACACTTCCATAAAAAAAAATCCAGGGACAGAAAGTGAACAGAATGATGAGTGAAGGAAGACAGGAGAGATATTGTTGAAGCAACAGTGCATCTAGCAGAGGTGAGCCCTAGCGAAAGTCTTTGCAAGAAGTACCAGGTGCACATTAGTCCTACCAGGACTAATTGTTTGGAAAACCTGATCAAAGAAAAATACTGGAGTAAGTATTCTGACTCAACTGTCCTATCTATACTGTGAGCATCCCTAAAACCAGCAAGGTTAAAATGAGGGGTACTTAGTATTCATGAAATACAAATGGACCAATCTTTTGCTTGCAAAGCAGACATTCAAACCTATAGATGTAATTTTACAAGTGCAGATTACAAAGCAGAAGGTAACAGTTGAAAAGAAGTGCAATGAAGGCTAAAAGCAGAGGAGCTAAATGAGAGGATGTGCAAAACTGAATTCTAGAAACCTTACAAGGAATGAAGAAAAAATTAAATCCAATTTAAAAAGTAGCAATAGATAAAATTAGTTGCTTACATGCAAACTTTGTAGATTAATGTGTCAGGATGAAGTTTAGAAGAACAATTTCTCAAACTTTTAATTAATTAATTCTTTGAATAGCTGGTTCCAGAGCTCAAATTCAAACACACTATTTATACTTTCCATTACTTTTCTCTAAAACACGAAGTTACAACTGAGTGATTTTTACCATAGCATATTGTTAGGGAGGAAGTCCTAGCACAGCCCTAGATATAACATCATGATTAGATAACTATGTTTTTGTTAATTATTTTTTTTTTTGTGGACAATAAAAATGCCCACAATAGATAATCATAGAATCATAGAAGAGTTAGGGTTGGAAAGGACCTTAAGATCATCAAGTTCCAAACCCCCTGCTATGGGCAGGGACACCTGACACTAAACCATGTCACCCAAGGCTTTACCCAACCTGGCCTTGAACACCGCCAGGGATGGAGCATTCACAGCTTCCTTAGGCAACCCATTCCAGTGCCTCACCATCCTAACAGTAAAGAACTTCTTCCTTATATCCAATTTAAACTTCCCCTTTTTAAGCTTGAACCCGTTACCCCTTGTCCTATCACTACAGTCCCTAATGAACAGTCCATTCCCAGCATCCTTATTAGGCCCCCTTCAGGTACTGGAAGGCTGCTATGAGGTCTCCACGCAGCCTTCTCTTCTCCAGGCTGAACAGCCCCAACTTTCTCAGCCTGTCTTCATACGGGAGGTGCTCCAGTCCCCTGATCATCCTTGTGGCACCCCTCTGGGCTTGTTCCAACAGTTCAATGTCCTTTTTATGTTGAGGACACCAGAACTGCACACAATACTCCAGGTGAGGTCTCACGAGAGCAGAGTAGAGGGGCAGGATCACCTCCTTCGACCTGCTGGTCACGTTGCTTTTAATGCAGCCCAGGATATGGTTGGCTTTCTGGGCTGTGAGTGTGCACTCTTGGCTCATGTTCATTTTCTCATCGACCAACACCCCCAAGTCCTTCTCCGCAGGGCTGCTCTGAATCTCTTCTCTGCCCAACCTGTAGCTGTGCCTGGGATTGCTCCAACTCAGGTGTAGGACCTTGCGCTTGGCATGGTTAAACTTCATAAGGTTGGCATCAGCCCACCTCACAAGTGTTTCAAGGTCCCTCTATTATTTTATAATAATAAATAATAAAGCTTACAGCATATACTTGGAAAGGTAGTCATAAAAAGAAGGTAACCAGACCCTTGCCATGGCACAATCTTTCTACTTCCTTTAGCTTTAGTGAAGTCTGGCAAAATCACAGCAGGCATGGATCTTATGTGGCATATTTTCAGTCTTTATTTCTATTCCCCAGTGAATTCCTAGCATTATGAAGGGTCTTGTGCACTGTTTGCTTTGCACACAGAATAATGAAGATGCCATGTGATCTGATATCAAGAGAGGCAAAATGAGTCATTATTCCTGACTACATTTTTAACAATCTTTGCTTAAGCAAGAATGTCATATTTTAAAAACATTTATCATCTTCGTAGGCCATAAATGACAATCTATCATCTGCGTAGGCCATAAAAGATAATTTAATTTGACAGAGAGGAAAAAAATATAGGAAATGCTCTATGCACAAAATGCTTTATTTCTTGCAGGGCAACTAGGATATAAATATTAAAGTGACAGTATTTCATATAATAATAAAAAAATTCAGGAGGTTCTCAAAGATAGATCCATCCCTTTTTTTTGAAAGAAATGGGATTGTGAGGGACTATGCAAGAGTCTTTCATCTGACATTTTTAAGATTTAAATTTGCACAACTGAATACTGAAGACATTCGGTGTGGAGAAAAGAACTGATATAATGTGAAATTAATATCAAGTTCCATGTAGCACTCTCTACTCCACTTGAGCCTCACACTCGTTACTTGCAGTACAGGTGTGTTTCTTGCATATATTTTTCAGCTCAGCCTCCTCCTGTTTATCCCAGGTATGCAAGCTCTCTAGGTTTACTAAGTGCTTCAAACAGAGCAAGACAGACAACAGTGTATCTTAATACTAACGAACTAAAGAGTGTCTTGTCACATGGTTGACAACTGGACAGAGAGGGCCCATCCTGTTTAAGTGTTAGCACACTTGCATGGTTTTCCCATGTGAAACTAAGCAATGCTACAGCAAGAATAAGGAGCTGTACCTTCCCAACCAGCTCTACACCACTATCATTTTCTGAGTAAAGCAAAAGCTGCGCAACATGGATGCCAGCCATGTCATGCTACTAGTCCTCAGAACCACAAAGCACACCTCATAAATTTACTAGCATAGATGTATCCTTAAAAATCAGCTCTGTAAGTACTCAAGAAGAGATGGCTGACATCGAAATGAGAAAAGCCTGGAGCTTTTCACAGAGAAACAAGAACTCTGTAAGAGCCTGACAACTGCAAAAGCAGCTGGCTTATGCGCTTCTATGAACACAGAAGTCCTCAATAGCTTCTTTGCTGTTTGATAACATAACTGAGCCTTCATTCCATGGAGGGGCAGTAACTGTGTTTGCTGTCCTGATCCATCTGTTTCCTTGGTGGCAAACTTGTTGGCAAACTCAGAAATTATTTAGGAGGTGAGATTGATGAAGTGATCATAGAATCACAGAATAGTTTGGGTTGGAAGGGACGTTCAAAGGTCATAATGATGCAATCCACTATCTTCAGCTGACATACTTCCAACTTGCACTGACAAATTTGCACCTACATACTACATGTTCTCAGTACATCATTAACTGCAGAATTGATTGCAAGTTCCAGACTGAAAAAAACCCAAACAATACAAAACTGAAGAACCATGGTGGTTTGAAGAATACCACTGTGCAGTTTTGGTTCCTGAGCTACAGATTCTTCATCATAAACAGAACTGCAGGATATGAGATGATGAGTGAGCACAAGGAAAATGTGGCTTAATGTAGGATTTTTTTTTTTTTTTAATTAAATGGAAAAATGAGACTATATCACTTCACTGAGCTTTAACATTCTGAAACTGTCTAAATTCCCCCTTTCATTCCCACACATTTTATTAGTCTTTTATTCTTCAAATCTAGGGAAAGGAAGAGGTGATAGGTCACCTAGTGCTAACTAAAGGTCCATACAGATATCTACCAGTGCGCTAACTCATTAAATTTGTGTCTCCTTCAGTATATAATGTCTCTGCTTCCCTGCAACGTGAATAGATATATCCAGTTCTTGCCTGCAGAAGTGCTGATTTGCACAGTGGGACTGGTGAAATGGTTGCAAGGTAAAAGGCATTTAAAAGCTGGCTTTCAAAAAGGTCTTAAAAAAAAAAGGAAAAAAGAAGAAAAAGAAGAAATTGTTGGGGGAATAAGGAAAATGCAAGGGGAAAGAAATGAGCAAGAAGAAAACAGAGATGTTAGACATCATATTTTTTCTCCTGTCCTATCTTAAAAAATGTACACAAATGTAACAGCCATGAAAGAGACACAAACAGCACTGAATAGAAATACACATACACAAAGCAAACACCATTATTAACCATGTTGCTGAAGTCTGGAAAAGTGAAAACAATACAGAATATATCACTCATACAAGTTTCCACTGGCCTTTAAGTTACAGAATAAATTTGTGGAGGGGCTTAAGTAATGGCAACAAATTTAGAGAGGAAGGTACATCAGCAAAACAAAAGCAGGATAAGAAAAAGAGAGATGATGAGGGAAAAAAAGATGAAGTGATATGTTATAAAGTGTGATCACTTTAACACACAAAGTATGAAGCAAATGGTCTTTTCAAAACGTTTTCTTTCTAAGCAGTTAATGTTTTACAGGCATCTGATTTTCCTATTAGCTACATATATGTTTCAGATTATGCATAAAACTGAAGCCTGCACAAACTGAAAGCTCCTAGAGATGCCACTCCAAAACTAGTGTTCCCAGCTTCTGCTTTCCAGCTTTCAAAAGAGAACTACAGTCTGCCTCAACAACATTTCCTCTAAAATGGAGTTTAAGAGAGACAGTTGTTGCAATTGTGATATCATGTTAATGTATATTGCTAAACTGCTTTCAACCTGAAAACAGCTACATGGATATTTTTATTTTCCCCAGTTTTAACTGTCATAAGAAAAGTAGAGAAAATGAACATTTAATGTGAAATTTCAATTTTATTTGCAAACATTTAAGAGTTCACTACACATACAGAATTACTGTATGTGTAATTAGGTAACATATTTACAATTGCACTAACTACACCATTAACTCCTCACCAGCACCTCACTTCCCTCTCAAATGCAGTTAAGCATGTAAGACTATGAAACTAACACACAGAGCAGCTATGCAAGTTTCCTATGAACAGATCAGAAATCAATAATAGCCAGACCTAGGAGTAAACCTCAATGTACATAAAGCCTCCACCTGAAGACAGCTGTTACAGAGGTAACATGAGAGAGGCAAATTCAGTGTCACCTGTTAATGAGTAAGCATGTCAAGAGGAGTATGAGACAACTGAACTGTCTTATTTTGACCAACTCAGCACTGCCTCTTGGCCCTGAAATATAACTTTTAACTGCAGCCTCACTTGGCTCAAGAACCACCTCTGGCAGCATTCTCTGGTGTCCATCAGGCCCAGAGCTTGGACTTCTTTTCTAACTCTCTTTAAAGTTCAATCAAACCACAGATCATTTGTCATTGGAAAAGACCTTTCAAGAAATGTGTTGGTCTAATCACCTGATGCCAGAAAGTCATCAATCAGCACAAGAAAGCGTTCATCTGAAACCTGGGCATCTGTCAGCAAAAACACTGTGGGCATGTTCTTGGCACCCGTCTTGATGTACAAACTGTCAAGATCTACCTGTAAGGAAAGGAGGCAATCATTCATATTCTGTTAAAACATTGATGCAGAAAAAGCATGAAATGCATGTTAGTCCATGAACAGCAACACATATTGCTGAATTCTCCTCACTTTCTTCAGTTTATTTACATATCATTAATCTGCTGTATAAAATCCAAAGGGAAAAAACAGTTTGCCTCTGTTTTTCATATAAAATATTGAGATTTGACATGACAGTGATAAAGATCGAAACAGATTAATAATAAAGGAAATCCCCTATGAATGTACTAAAAAAAAAGAAAGATTGCAGCCACTAAAGTCCCCATCAAGAACAGCCATAAAACCATGCAGTAACGTTTGGGAATTGCATCGAAGAGTCAGGTCAATTTCTGCAAGGTTTTTTTCATTTAAGTGAATATTTTCGGAAAACTTTCTTTGGGGGATGAGGGTGGGTGGTGGACAGGGGGAAAGGCTGAGTAATGCAGAGTAATACACTGGTACAGTTATTTTTGCCATCACACATGGGTGGCCCAGAGAGAGACATGGCATGGGACCATTGGGCTAGCAGTGGTACAAACATGGAATGCTTTTTGGCATAGGATTCCAGAAAAAAACCAACACATATCAGTTGAACTCAAGTGTAGTCACATTTGAAATACAGAATAAGGTCAATTCTGAGTGATGTGAACAACCACACAACCTACCAGAAAGCAATGCACTTCATCTACCCAGGGAAGAAGGACACAAGAAGTTAGACACCATATAAAACTCTGAAGAACACAGCACTTTTCCAACACAGAGCAGCAAGTAGCTCCTTCTGAAAACTGATACTTCAGGCTGCATGCACTGTTGTGCTTTGGCCATGGGCCCAAGGCTAATAGAACAGCTTTTTGAGGACAACCATCCACCATATTTGACCATAAACAGATCTTTATTTAGTGGTGTCTGAAATTCAGAAGCTTCACTTGTCCACATGGAATGAAGAGGAAGAAAATGTTACCTCCTTCCCTGCTTGCTCACATATTCAACCTTGCAAGGTCCTGAAGTCTGTAAACCTGATTGAGCACCTCTCTCAACTATATTCCTTATACTTGCATATGACCAATTTAAGTGATAAAATGACTCACATGAAATGAGGGCAAAATTTTGCCCTGTGCTCACCCACGTCAGTTTTATGCTACAAAATCAATACACATGTAGTGACATCCAAAAATACCAGAACTCCAACCACATCTTTGTAGTGTGTGAGGCAGCTGCCTTGGAAAAAGTGGAGAAAGTAACAAAATTCTGTGAAGCATATAAACTAAAATATCTTTTGACCACCCATTTTTCAGACATAAAGAAAACAAAAGGTACAACTAGAAAACAGGAACCACAGGAGTTGTTACTGTAAATTATACTGTTTCGCCTGTGATTTTATCAAGCCTGTGCAACAACAAAACAACACATTCTTGAAGTAGTAAACTCACAGACTCAAATAATATCTATTAGTTTACCCTCAGGTATGGGATCCCATAGTGTTCTTGTGGTGTGATTTGGAAAACCTCCACAGAACAGATGTATGCTGCCAGCCTCAACAAGCCTTGTTTCCCAATACCACCTACTCCATCAGAAATGCATAACCCCTAGGTGCTTCTAGGATATGACTGATCCAGCACCTAATGACAAAAATCTAATAACGTAACACAGACTTCAACTATTTTGTCTATTTTTGTTATAATGTGTTCCTGACACTTTAAGGTACATTATCTTCATATCAGCATTTTGTTTCTTTCAGTATTTGAGCAACCAGAAAGAAAAGCTGTTTTCCTTTGTCAAATACTGAAGGTCTGCAGTGAACTCTACAATGACCAGAGCTGTCTGGTTGCTCATTCTTTACACTAATCTGCTCCAAAGCATCATTCCAAGATCCTGATGGACCCCGACTGGAGTAAGAATAAAGACCTAGTTAGATTGAAGGGAGGTTGATGGGGCCCTAGGAGGACATGACAATTTCACATGACAATTTTCTGGGAGTTTGCATGAAAAATGTGCATAGAACTTTAATTTACTCATAGGATATCTCGCCCAGACTATTTCAGTCTTGCTTTTATTTACTGCTTATGGAATACCATAAAATTATGAGAATCTGACCCAAAATTAGAAAAGATTTAGTTGCTGGAATGTTCAAATGCAAGCATTGAGGTAGTTCAAATGCAAGCATTGAGGTAATTCAAACTATGTTTGAGAGACTAAAAGAAATCTCTTGCAATTGATATTTTAATCATTTGTACAAGCACCTATAATTACTTTCAGAATTTCATTTTTTACATTCAGATGCAGATTCTAAGGGATTACAGCCTGGTATCAGCAGACCAGAGATTAAAGACAGCATGCTGGATGTTTTGCTTCATTTTTCTTCCATGTATCAATGAAAAAAAAAAACCCAAAGCAATCCTCTCATTCTCTTTGTCTCACATCCCTGAAAAAACATTGATGAGAACCTTCTTTAAAGGGATAATGCTTCTATTCTGGTTGCGCCTCTAATAAAGAGGTAGCAACATGTTCAGCAAAACCAATACTGGAAGCCAATTCTCTTTGACTTCACTGTAGAACTTTGCCAGCTTTTTTTTTTTTTTTAAATGGATCCATTGTGAAATCAACATAAAAGGTGCAGAAAAAATGCACAGGATTTAATTTCAGGTACAGTTTTCCAGGACTGCTGAATTGTAAGGCTGAGAAACTCTGTCACTTTGTTTGCTGAACTAGGATACTACTCTCAGACTTTAGACTTCAGAGAGAAGATAAGGGCTTACCAACATTTTCAAGCAAGACTAGTAACACTCAAGAAGGCTTCTGTCTGCAATTCTGATGATTATCACATCAACCTCTACATCAGCAGAACAAAATTTACAGTTCGTATGAAAGATTCATAGGATTATCTTTGTAATTTAAGCTCTTTTTTAATCCTCTTGGAAACTTCTACATTAGACTGCTTTGTCAAAAGTGCCTTCTCTTACATAGCTCCTACCTGAATATGTACAAAGTGAAAAACAATGACACTGAAATCCTAGTCCAATGCAGTAAGAAGAAAAAGTTCTGTGTTAAATTATCTGACACTACAAATAATAGAAACTGCTTTAACAAAACTAAGCTCTGCCAGCATGGGCCTCTGTCTCTTTCTGGAAATCACTGATAATTACACATGACCAGAATGACTGTATATGTTGAAGAAAGATTACAAAAAATGACAAGGGGCAACAATGAAGTCTGTACCTCACTTATTCAGCAAAATCTTGATTTCAACTTCTGAAAACTGGCTGGTTTTCTTCCACACCAAAAACCAAAGCAAATGTAGTGAATCAGATTTCAAAACAGAAATTGAGATTTTTGGGCAATGACAGATACTAAGATGCTGCCTGACGTCAAAAAAGCAAATTACACCGAACTGAAACAAGGTAAGACTACAGAGGAAAAAATGTCTATAGAAAAATTAAAATAAAATAAAAAGTCTAAACTAAACTAAATCTTAGAAGTCTGGGCTGGATTAGGTTTTTAAAAGCACAAGGTTAGGCAGCAAAATAACCAAGTCTGCAATGCAGTGATATAATTGAGTATATGCTTCAGGTATTACTTGTCCTTTTCTGAATTAATGCAATTTTATAAGCATTTTCCCTTTCTTGGAAATGAAACCTATTTTCTTTTTTAATAATGAAACATACATATGTTTAATCTGTTCATCTTAGTTCATGTTTTTGCTGTGTTTTGTTTGCTGCAAAATGAGTATTCTTGTAAGTGAAGAGGTTTTGAAGGGCAAATAGAAACATTTTTGTGGTTCTCCCTAGTTAATTCATCCTTGACACTGGCACTAACACACATTTATTCCAGAAGAAACTATATATGCACTGGTACTATATCATCTATGACATTATTTTTTCTTTCTTGTGCCATATTTGATACAATGAGCAATACTGAGAGGTACCACAATTCAAATTTAAAGAAACAAGAAGCATACATAGTAAAACTTAACAGAGAACATTAAGGCAAAGGAACATATCAAATTAGGATAGATATTTTAAAAATAAGACAAACACCACAACTTCTATCACATAATAATTTGTTCTACTTTTTTGTTGAAATGAAGATGTTGCATGGTCACAGAACATTCTGATGATGATTGAGAGATTTTTTTTTTTTAATGGAACTGGCTCCAAACTTGGATGAGTACAACATGGTCAAAGAAAGTTAAAATCAATTTGAGAATGCACACAACCATCAGGGTTAAGAGCAGACAAAATTAACAGCAAAGATCATAACAGAGTATGAGATGGCATGTCTTGATTTGCAGCATCGTCCAATAGATACTGTTTCTGGCTGTCCAGGTGACACAGCTCCAGGTGAATTAAAAAGGAGGCCACTTGAAAAAAAAGAAAGAAAAAAGATATATGAAATCGAGGCTTTCAGTAGCTGGTACATTGAGTTCCAGTTGCCCAAACCTGGAGACAGTCTTGCTTCTTTAAAAGTTAGTGTACAACTGAAGTAGACCAAACAAGTACCATCTTTAAAAAAATCCCAAACACTGCAAAAGAATAACTCATAAATAATGCAGCCATTCCCTGCTTTAAACAACAAATCCTCCCCAGAAATTCACAGTATAATGCGTTCTCCTTCTTTCCATGCATTTGCAACAAGTTTTACTGTATCTTAAAATTCTCAAATTATCATTTAGAATTCCTGACTAACAAGTCAAATTTTTTTCATCATTTAATCTGTTTGTAAAATGAGGATTTTTAATTTTGGGTTTGGTTTTGTTTCTTTTGAAAAAAAAAAAAGAAGCATCAACAGTTTTAAACAGATCTTTTAAGATCTGAAGCTTGAAATATTTGTGAGAAGACAAAAAGTTTCCTGGATGGAGTAGCATACAGCTTTAGGAATAAAACAGAAGAACACCTGAGACACTAACTTTCTGTGTCACTGAATTAGACATGATTGATTTCTCTGAGCTAGAGATGCTACAGATTTGAGCATTCACTTCCTTTCCTCCTCTTTACATCTTGCTCCTTAACAAGATATTCAGGTGACACCTGGTATCATTCCTTCATGAGATGAAGTATGACCTAGTGAAATAGTTTACACAATTCAACTGCATTTAAATATGCAAGAACACAGTACAGTTTATTGCCTCACTTTGGGCACAGTTATAGTCAGATCGCAACACACATGCTAGTGAAAAGAAAAACCTTCTATAAGAAAGAAAAATTAAGGGTATGGGTAAAATCCTTGAACATCTGGTGAAGAATTAGAGAGCTGAGTAGATATGCTCAGTATCCTCACAGCACTGAAGTATAGCTGGTTTTGTGTGTGGAATGCCTGCCCATCTGTCTATGCACCTCCTTTTTATGATATACAGACAGATAATTTTGTATATTTAGCTTGTATTTAAACGCCGAATTCATTCTTTGCTTTACTCACCAGATCATTCACAATGCATTCTTTGTCTCTCACATTTCCTTCATGTGACATAAAAGTGACATGTTTGTACGTGAACAAGAATCTAATGTGAGATTATAATAATAATGAAATATTTACACAAGATAAAGATCCTCCTGTAACAGAATCAAACACTAATCAGTTGATTTGAAACCAAAAACTTCATTTTCCACAGACTCTGTTGAAAGGATACTAGCATATTTTATCTGCCAAAAAATTAAATTTTCCTTTGGAGAGTAAGAAGGGAATTACCTTTATTGCCAAATTCAATTATCCTCCAGTGACCATCTGTGGTTTTCTTCTCATGGCAGAGAAAAAGCATTCATTTGAACCAGCATCATAAAATTTCTGTGGATTTTGTCTGTTGTTTCTACAGGGTGAAGATAAAGGGTGGTATAGGCTAAATACCTGGCAAGCTGCGATTTAGGGAATAAATTTCTTTATCTCAGACATCTCTGTTTTCATCAGGTCAACCAATGGGGTCAATATAGATCAGCTCCATCAGGAGTAGCTGAAGGATACTTTCCTTCCAAGACTATTGATAGCTCCTTGTCTTTGTGCTTCTCTTTTCTAAAACTGTTTATAACCTCCAGGGAGAGAATGCTTTTCTGTTTGAGGAATTCAGTTTGAAGCTTTCTGTTTCTATATGGCATAGGGATCCTATCACGGACCACAGTACGGAAAGTAAGCAGATAGAAAGTGAAAGTAAGCTGGAGTACAAGACAGAAATATAGAATCTCAACACATTTGCAATTGGATGGTCATAAATTTGGAGGAAAAAAAAGCCATGGCTGCACTTATCCTCCTTTTCTACCACAGAAGGGAAAAAATCTTTTGCAGAAACTATGTACATATGAAATGTTTGTATTAGTTACCCTAAAAATCTTGAAGTTTTTTTTCTTCCTTTAGTTCAGTACATATATACCTGTACTTTCAAACCCTAAATTAGGATTGCTCCTTTTTGATCCTTAACCTTATCTAAGCTTTAAATAATGTCCACAATTATAATCAATTACTCCTGTTTTTTGTGTTGCTTTTTTTTCTAATACTGCATTATTACAATACAAAAAGAAAATGTATTTTGCTAAATCCTACTATACATAAATGTTTATGCAAATTTCTTCTCTGTGGCAGTATTCCAGCCTTAGTAGTATTGAAGACCCCAGACTTAGTGTACCAATATTAGTTTGCACCGAAATCTGCCTCCACCAAGTAACATTCTGAAATCTTCTGCTGTTCTAGAAGCAGAATGGGTGAGTCATATGCCTAGAAGGAATGTTAAATAAAACCGAACACGACAAGCTAATCCCACCTACTCTAGCAAATACCTCAAAAAAAGTTACGTGAATACAGATGAGATGGGAGCTGGCAGAAAATGATGCAGATTAGAAGTGATATGATCTGTAAGAAAAATATTTTAACCTTTGAACTATGGAATAAACATGGCAAATTAGTGAATAACTATACTTCAATGAGTGCAGCTCTTAAGCTTTTCCTTTTGAACTGAGACTTAAATTTCTCATTTGTATAATTGGATGTGAATGTCTCTTTACATTAAAAAAAGAAAAAAAATCCCCAAATTTGATCGTTCCAAACAATTGCTTGGAGTTGTAGCCTAAAACACGTGAAGGCATTCCAGTGTACCACTTGAATGCATTTTACAGGAGGAAGCATTGGTACACACAGACACAAAAATAACAGAAAGGGCAGTCATTTTGAGCTAGATGGGACAGTACAAAATCATTCCGTCATAGTGCACCAAAAAAAAAAAGTTGTAAACACAACAGAAAGCAAACACAATATATTTGTTTCTGAGTTGTCACACAGTTCTTCACATCTGTGATTAGTGGAGGCACTTCCTAGCAGAGCATTTAGCAAGAGAGACTTGGCTGGAGAGCAGTGGACAGCAGGAAGAGCTGCGGAGTCGACCTCTTTGTTCATGTTTCTTAGAAGGAGCAGTTATGTTTCTTAGAAGGAGCAGTTACGTTTTACAGCACTGTAAAACATTTCACAGCAAAACCTTAAAGGTTCATAAATTTTCAAATTTTATGCCACAGGAGAATTGACATGTGTGATACACTTGCAGAGAAAACCCCTGTGATGCTGACTTCACCTATTTGGTATATTTAAGAGGTTTTCTACAAGAAGAATACATAACTGTTGCTGCCTAAGAGCTTTCATCAGCTTCTGTTTGCAATGGAAAGTGTTTTTTTGCTTTAGCACGTTGGTCACAGATCCTGCTGCAATGGCAATCATTAGCTAAAAAATCCCTCTCTAATCAAAGGAATACTTGAAAACTTTTTAAGGCTGATTCCCCATTAAGGCAGCTATGACAGATTACAACAGCCCATGACCTCATTCTGACGCACAGCAGATTTCTTTTCTCCTAATCTCACCATTCATTTTAAGGGGAAAAAATGCAATTAAGGTCTATTAATTCAGGATTTTATGCTAATGTGAATTTGGAAACACTTCAAAGAATAAACTCATATACTAACTAGACTGAAAGTGCGATTTTTTAATCTGACCTGTATACAAAAAGAATAAAAAATCACATGACAATGGAAAGAAAAACTGGCATAAAAACTTATTCAATGGAGATTTGTTGGTTTATACTTACATTTTTAAGCCTAGTGACAATTTGATCTATTAGCAGCAATGTAGACTGGCTAGAAAATTTAAAAAATTAATCATAAAAGTAGTTAAATTAAGCATTAAGCAAACACTTCTAAAGATTTTATCCGAAGAGTTCTTCAATTTGAGGGATTTTTAAAAACTGAGAAATTATTTTCTGTATCTTATCCCAAACATGAAAGACTAAGCCTATTGCCTGGAAACTGTTTTTTCTACTCTGTCATTTCTAAAGAACATGACTAGTTTGCTTTTCGTTAGGAATAAATCAATAAAATATTTAAGACATGCAGTCTCAGACGTATGAATAAAGATGGCCTGAAATTGAAAAGAAAAAGAAACATCAAACACTTGCACTACACAGTTTAGTTTTAAAAGCAAACAGTGATTTCTGTCTCTGGCTAGGACTGAATTTTAAAAGGCAATGAAACAAGATACACCAATATCTCAAACATAATTACTAGAACAAAATGTTGTACTGGTCTATTTCTCACACAACATTTCTACTTGAAAATTTATATTCAATTTCTTCTAGTAGGAAAACTTTGAAAACAGGCTGCGGCTGAAATTCACTGGTTCTGTCTCAACATTTAAGAATGCCAATCTCCCCAAAACTGACAGTGAAACAAAGGATGATGCAACAGGCAGATGGTTTAATTTCTCAGTTAGCATTTCCATTTACTTTTACAAGCTTTTCCAGCCTATTTTCTCACTTACACTCCTGAGAAGGGCAAGTGAGAAGAAAGCTGGGTGAATGTTCGGCTGTTCACCAAGGCTATCTCCCCATATATCCAGCCCAAATACTCTATTTCTTAAAACTTCTAAATTCAGTTTAAATTTCTATAGCTGTGACTCTACCGAGGTTACTTGCTTTAGACAAGACCTTCCTAAGTATGTTCACAGAACAGCAAGTCTTTTTGAAGGATATGAAAACAGATGTTAATATGACTCAAAAGGTCTTCCCAGTCTGTAATGCAATATCGTGCTGCTTCTCATTCTTCAACTCGGACAAGATGCTCCTTTACCTATGGATGATGCAATGTATAAATTTGTTCCTTCACAAAGGCTTCATCTAATTTAAACAGCAGCAAAGCCAACTGTATGTTTTAGTTTTTAATAGGCAAGTATGATTAGATATTTCTCAAGATATCAAGGTTTATCTAAGCAAAACTGAAACTACTGAAAAGTAGAGTTTTAGAACTTTTTTCAAACTTTTTGTAGCATCACAACAAAAAAAATCTCACTAAAGGGAATGCATTATAATGCCTTGCTTGTATCTACATTTCTCAGTATGAACCCAGTAAGTGAGATTAAAGATACATCTCTTCACAAAATGCTTTAATTTTGGTAGGCTAGACCCTCATATTACTTTCTTGTTGCTTGCCAGGGGCTTATGTATAGAAAAAAAACTACAACAGGTAACACTTCCTTAAGCAAAAACAGCTTCTCCATGCATGGTAAATGACCCTACTGCAAGTCTTCACTGTAAGCAGTTAGCTCCCTCCCATCAAGTTAGCTCATTTACAGATGAGCTCAGATATCTAAAGTAGTACTACAGGCCAACATATCAGATGCACAGGCCATTGCTCTGAGTCCCTATCAGTGAGCAGAAACCTGCATATACATAGAAACACATGCACATATGTATTTATATCTGTTTAAATACATAGGGAGATGTGTGTGTATAGATATATATTTTTCAAGCACAGTGAGATACTGTGGTCATTTTCATTAACTTACCTGATTTTGAGAAAATGCCCCACCAACCCCCAAATACAAGCAAAGAGAGAATGCATCTCATGGACCGTTTCAAGGCAATCCACTGGCACATTTTCAGGAGTCAGCAAACAGTCCAGCAGAGAACAGAATGTTTGCAATGAATAAATATGTGAAAAGAGTGACCTGGGAGTCTTACTCTGTAGGAAGTCGACAGTGACCTCAAGAAGGTATTTAAAATTTAAGTAGCGAGACTGCAGCTCCTTCCTCTGCTTCGTTTTTGTCTAGGAGGTCCTTTCAAAGGTCAAAGGCATGAAGAGGTATCCTGATAAAAGGTAGCAAAATACCTTCATTCTACATTAATTAAAGCAAGGTATATGAAGAAGATGACACAGCTCAGGCATGTCTATTACAGCAAATTCTTAACACTCATACTCAATAATTAGTTTTCTCCTCTCACATTGACTTTTTAGAAGGAGGCAAACACTCAAAGAGTTTAGAATAACAAGGCATATTAAGTAAATTTAAAATACCAACATATGGATGTGCAGTATCAGATCATTTAATAGGAGGCAGAGCTCAGCTCCATACTTTAATAACGCTTAATAATGTAGGGCCTCATTATCAGAGTATGAAAGTAACTGATGTTAATGAATTTAGTGAGAATTTAATTAGAGAAAGGCAGAATGCATGTACGGAGAGATGAAATGGCCAGCCCTAAGCTAAGACATTGCTAACAGAAGCAACACAAGAACTGAGAAGTCTGGGAATTGTGTGCAATGCCAAAAGCGCACTACATTTCTTCTTGTTACAGTGGACAGGTGCCATATGAAACCTTTGAATCCTTGTAAGTCTCCAAAATAAGGGTCCAGGTTTGATGCATAAGAACATCTCAATTTCTTTTCACATACATTTCAGATAAAGAGTATTTTTAAGCATTTTTACTCCTGCATAGGACCATCTGCCTAGTGGGTGTTTTAGAAATACTGTTTCTTAAAATATAAATAGTTTTAGTCATAATGCATACCTGAACTCTATTCTCAAGAATAGGAGGAACAGTTTTAAATCTTGTTATGAGTTCCTCTAAATAAGGAAGCACACATTAATCAAAGCCTTTTCAGATTGGTATCTCCCTGTTTCTAACCAGCTGGCAACATACAAGCAAAACAAATTGGAAAGAAGGTATTTTTATCAAAGGGAAGTTAAAAAAAACACAGAATTTCTTCCTTCTAGTTTTGAAATGCAAACTTTTGTTGACCTCTGAGAATTGTTTGTGACTGCCTCTAGTGCAATTCACTAAAACTACTGTGCTGGCTCTAAGTCAAATGTAAGTGCCACCAGCCTTGCAATACTTTTATTTGTGCATGCAAAGGTCATCAAGCTGCAGCATTTCTAAAAGCTATACGATGGTTGAGTACACTGGCATATGGCTGTACTCCTTTTACTTGACTGCATTCTTTATTCCAGGAAGGGCAGAGAGAGGACCTAGATGATACTTTGCTTCTGCTTTCAGAGGGCTGCACTACCACAAAGCAACTGGGAGCAAGGATACTGTATTTGATTTATGTTGCTTGATAGAAAATATCAGCATGTAAATTGCACACAAGACCAAGGATCATGTGACACCCAAATTCAACATAATTTCCATTGCAGATATCTAAATTAGCCCAACCTTAGCAGCAATCTAGCCCTTATGGGTAACTCCCCCCACAGTTTATGTACTGGGCATGAAATGCTGCGGTATGGAATACCCCTTTGGCTAGTTTGAGTCAGGTGTCCTATCTCTGCTTCCTCCCGACTTACCCTCCTCCCCGGCAGAGCATAAGACTCAGAAAGTCCTTGGTCAGACTAAACATTACTTAGCAGCAACTAAAAACATCGGTGTTATCAGCGTTATTCCCAGGCTGAAAGTCAAAAACACAGCACTGCACCAGCTACTAAGAAGGAGAAAAAATGACTGCTACTGCTGAACCCAGGACAGTATCCACCCATTATTCCATACCATTCACGTCATGCTCAGATCCCACATTTTTCAATATACCATTGCTTTTGTCTCATATGTGTATATATATATATATATAAATACACACATGCACACACACATGCACAAAGAGAGGTATCATTCCTTAGTCCATGGACTAATCCCTACAAAGCTACTGAATTCATCCAGTCCATGATGACAGGCTTCATCTCTTCTAACAGTCTTTCAGAGCAGGAGAGATGATGTGCAGTGTTGGATTTTTGCCTGCTGATGACATCGTGGAACTCATCTGGTCACTGTTGAACTCTTCTGGTTTCGTCAAAGTGCATTTTTTTGTTGGGATGATGATCGGACAAAGTCAGGGCCAGTTGCTGGTGACCCGAAAACATCTAGTTGGTGGGCTATAAAAGTGCTACATAGCAGCCAAAAGCATATAATTGAGTTCATTGGCTGTTTTCCCCTAAAATCAAATTCCCTTGAGGTACACACTGGACTTCCCCATCTTGCAGCATTACTCACCAGGTATATCCAGGTCCCTGAGCAAAATGAATCCCATGAGTGGGTTTGCCTTTACTTGAAGCAGGAATAACCCAGACTGTCTTCCCCATCAAATTCGTTATGTGCACCACAGGAACTTTTTCCCCTTCCACAGTATGTAAAAGTTGATTGGGCTGGTTGAGCCCTGTTGGCAGATCATCTAGTGTTGATCAACCAGGTGAGTTTTAGTAAATGTGTATCCCAGTGTTTGAAAGTCTCACCACCCATTGCTCTCAGTGTTGTTTTTAACAGCCCATTGTACCGTTCCATTTTCCCAGAGGCTGGTGCATAGTAGGGGATGTGATATACCCACTCAATGCCATGCTCTTTGGCCCAAGTGTCTATAAGGTTGTTCTGGAAATGAGTCCCGTTGTCTGACTCAGTTCTGTCTGTGGTGCCGTGCTGCCACACAATCTGTTTCTCAAGGCCCAGGATAGTGTTCCGGGCAGTGGAGTGGGGCACAGCGTATGTTTCCAGCCATCCAGTGGTTGCTTCCACCATGGTACGCACATGGTGCTTGCCTTGGCGGGTTGGTGGGAGTGTGATATAGTCAATCTGCCAGGCCTATTTGTACTTCAGGCCATTTTTGTACTTCAGCCATCATCCTCCATACCAAAGAGGCTTGAACCATTTGGCTTGCTTAATTGCAGCACGTTTCACACTCATGAATAACCTGGGCAATAGTGTCCATTGTTAAATCCACCCCTCGATCACGAGCTCATCTATATGTTGCATCTCTGCCCTGATGGCCTGAAGTGTCATGGGCCCACCAGGCCAAAAATAATTCACCCTTATGTTGCCAATCTAAATCTATCTGAGCCACTTCAATCTTAGCTGCTTTACCCACTTGTTGGTTGTTCTGGTGTTCCTCAGTGGCCCGACTCTTGGGTACATGAGCACCTACATGTGCACCTTCACCACCAGGCTCTGCTCCAGGGCACCGGTGTCTTTCCACAGCGTAGCAGCCCAGATGGGTTTACCTCTGCATTGCCAGTTGCTCTGCTTCCATTGCTTCAACCACCCCCACAGGGCATTTCACACCGTTCATGAGTCAGTATAGAGATAAAGTACTGGCCACTTTTCTCGTTCAGCAATGTCCAGGGCCAGCTGGGTGGCTTCCACCTCAGCAAACTGACTCGAGTCACCCTCTCCTTCAGCAGTTTCTACAACTTGTCGTCTAGGACTCCATACAGCTGCCTTCTGTCTCCAATGCTTTCCCACAATACAGCAGGACCCATCAGTAAACAAAGCATATTGCTTTTCATTTTCTGACAGTTATATGGTGGTGCCTCTTCAGCACGCACCACCTCCTCCTCTGGTGACATTCCAAAATCTCTTCATTCTGGCCAGTCCATGATGACTTTTAGAATTCCTGGATGACAGGGATTTCATATTTGAGCTCGTTGTGCAATTAGTGCAGACCACTTACTCCATATAGCATTGGTTGCATGATGTGTAGAGGAGAACCTGCCTTTGAACATCCAGCCCAGCACAGGCAACCAGGGTGCCAGGAGGAGCTGTGCTTCAGTGCCAATCACTTCTGAAGCATCTCAACCCCCTTTATAGGCTGCTAATATCTCTTTTTCAGTTGGGGTATAGCTGGCCTCAGATCCTTTGTATCCCCGATCCAAAAGCTGAGGGCTCAACCTCGAGTCTCCCCAGTAGCTTTCTGCCAGAGGCTCCACGTAGGACCATTCTCCCCAGCTGGGGGGTACAGTACATTTTTTACATCTGGCCCGGTCTGAACTGGTCCGAGGGCTACTGCATGAACTATCTCGCGTTTAATTTGCTCAGTTTGTTGTTGCTCAGGGCACCATTTAAAATCATTCTTCTTCCAGGTCACATGATAGAGAGGGCTTACAATCAGACTGTAATTTGGGATGTGCGTTCTCCAGAACCCCACAGCACCCAAGAAAGCTTTGTTATCTTTTTTATTTAGTTGGTGGAGACATTGCTGTTATCTTGTTGATCACATCTGTGGGGATCTGGCGATGTTCATATTGCTGTTTTATTCCCAAAAATTGAATCTCCTGTGCAGGTCCCTTGACCTTACTCCATTTTATGGCAAAACCGGCTTTCAGCAGGATTTGGATTATTTTCCTCCCTTTCTCAAAGACTTCTTCCACTGTATCACACCACACGATAATGTCATCAATGTATTGCAGGTGTTCTGGAGCTTGCCCCGTTCCAGTGCAGTCTGGATCAGTCCATGGAAGATGGTAGGGCTGTGTTTCCACCCTTGGGGTAGTCGATTATAAGCGTACTGGACACCCTTGCAAGTAAAATAGATCCGTGGCCTGCACTCTGCTGCCAAAGGAATTGAGAAAAATGCATTGGCAATATCAGTCGTGGCATACCACTTGGCTGCCTTTGACTCTAGTTCATACTGAAGTCCTAGCATGTCTGATAAGGCAGCACTCAGCAGTGGCATGACTTCATTTAGGCCACAATAGCCTACTGTTAGTCTCCACTCTCCATTAGACTTTCGCACTGGCCACATGGGGCTATTAAAGGGTAAGCGGGTCCTGCCGATCACTCCCTGACTCTCCAGTCTACGGATCAGCTGATGGATGGAATCAGGGAGTCTCGGTGCGATATTGCCGCCAGTGAACTGTTGTGGTCGTGATTGGCATTTGTTGTTCTTCGACTGTCAGCAACCCCACAACAGAAGGATCCTCCGAGAGACCAGGAAAGGTGGACAGCTGCTAAATTTCCTCAGTCTCCAAAGGAGCAATACCAAAAGCCCATCGGTACCCTTTTGGGTCTCCTGAGGTAGTCTATGCGAGGATGCATGGAGCCTCTGGACCAGTCACAATAGGGTGCTTTTGCCAGTTCCTCCCAGTCAGGCTGATTTCAACATCCGATACAGTCAACTCTTGGGATCCTCCTGTCACTCCAGAAATATAAATGGGTTCCACCCCTTGATAGCTTGATGGCATCAGGGTGCACTGTGCACCGGTATCTACTAGAACTTTGTACTTCTGTGGGACTGATGTGCCAGGTCATCTGATCCGCACAGCCCAGTAAATCTGATTGTCCCTTACCTTCACCTGGCTGGAGGCAGGGCCCCTCTACTACTGATCACAATATTGGTCACTTACACCTTGTAGACAGGGATTAGTCTTCTTTATCACAGGAGCTAGATTAAAATCAGCTCTTCCATTCCATCTGGGAACCTGCTCACCAGAGGCTGAAGGCGCCGCTTTCATGGGATGATCATCCTTGACCTTTGTTCTCCTCTTCAATTCACGCACCCCTTCCTCCAGAGCTGAGGTAGGTTTTCCATCCCACTTTCTCATGTCTTTGCAGTGATTCTGCGGGTAAAACCATAGGGCGGCCCATGGCATATACCTCCTATATCTTCTCTCTCGAGCAGTAGGACACCTTCTGTTAATAGCTGAGACATGGGTTGGTACATGTGGGGAGCTGGATAGATCAGATAGATCATCTCTCAATTGTTTGAACTCCTGGGATAGTTTTTCCACAGCTGAAATGATGGAAGGGGTGAGATTGTCTTTGAATGCTTGAAGTTGATGAATCACTTCATCCACTGTCGATGGTACTATGTCATGCCAAGTTATTCATGCCAGTGAGTGGGCATATGATGATGGTCCACTGGGTGTAAGTTTCCACCACATGGGTCTTGTTCAGACTTCATCTGGATCTAAAGATGCATTTCTGGCATCCTGCCTACAATAGATCATCTCTAAGATGGCTGATTCCCTCAGAGACTGGATGCCTTTCTCTACTGTGGTCCAGTTGGCAGAATGACTCATAACATTGTCCTTGCAGGGAAACCTTTCTTTCACAGCTGCCAAGAGCTGCCTCCAAAGGCTGAGGGACCATTTCTCTTTTGCAATCACTTTGTAAATTTCCTCTTCCCTAGCAAGTGATCCTAGCTGCTTGGCTTCCCTACCTTCTAGTTCGTGACCGCCGGCTCCATTGTCCCAGCATTGGAGCAACCAGGTGATGATGTGCTCTCCTGATTGAGGGGTAAAATCTTTTTGCATATTCCATAGCTTGGTTGAGGTCCAGGGTTGAGAAGTCACCTCTTCTTCCTCTTTCTCTGATTCATGTAAGAATAATTCTTGTTCAGATGTTGTCCCATTTAGTAAGTGAATTGGTTCCTTATCTTTCTTCACTGTACGGGTTGCTCTTTGTGCCTCTTGTTTGCTTTTCCCCTTGCCTACAGGGGCAACTGATATTGGCACGAATTGGTCCTCTGGTTCAGCTGCAGTGATTATCACGGTGGTTGGAGTGTCTGCAGTATCTGTTGTCGGGGTGGGTGCAGCCACTGTGCTTGGGGTTTGAATAGCACCAGCAGCTGCGCTGTCTGTTGCTGTCAGGGTTTGGGTAGCTGCTGTGCTTGTCGCTGGGGTTGGTGTAGTTGCTGTGCTGGGAGTTGGAGTATCTGCATTGTCAGTTGTAGTCAGAGTCTGAGTAGCTGCTGTACTTGTCACTGGGGTTGGTGTAGCTGCTGTACTTAGAGTTGAAGTAGCTGCATTGTCTGTTGCTTTGCCATCAGATCCAGAGACATTTTTTCCCCTTTGAAGGTGCTGGACAGCGTTGAACAGGGCTCTGTAAGTGTAGGCCAATCCCCAGCATGTTTCCATGATTTGTCCCCCTCTGTTATAACCAGGATGACAACACACCTTATTTAAGTGTTTTACTAGTTTTTCTGGATTTTGCACTTGTTCAGTGGTGAATTTCCAAAGCACTGGAGGGGCCCACTGGCCTAGATACTTGTCCATACTATCCCACACACCCTGCCACTCATGACTGTCCAGCCTTAGGGAAAATCTCTTGTTCTCCCTATACCATTTTCATCTAACCCTAGACAAGACCCAAACCCAACTCTGCTTAACTTTTGAGATCAGACAAAATGGTTGTGGATAAAACAGACTCTCTATGTGTGCCAATATGCTGATCCCCATCACAATCAGGAGGCAGGTCTCAAGGGTATCCAAAGGCCTTTCAAATCCAAATGATGCTGTAAATAGTCTGGTGGGGGAGCTAGGGGTGTAAGGGAATGTCTCCTTCATAGGCTGACCACCCGAGGAGGAAACAAAAGATGTGTAATTGCTAAACACTTCCATTATATACCTCTCAGAGTACTGAGGTGATGACCACACTGGGAACGCAAGCCAGATCAGTTTCATGATCAATAAGCCTATTGTATTACAAGTCATTACCATAAAGTACAACGAAACAAGAACCTTAGCCCAGGCTCCCCAGCTGATAAACACTAAAACAGCAAACACTGACTGTAAGTAAGGTACGACATGCTGAAACTGTGAGATCAAGGATGTGTGGTCCCATGGAGAGAGAAGCCCATGCTGGAGCAGGTTCGCTGCAGGACTTTAGATCCTGCAGGGGACTGATGCTGGAGCAGTCTATTCCTGAGGGACGGCACCCCATGGAAGGCACCTAAAATGGAGCAGTTCAGGAAGAACTGCAGCCTGTGGAAAGGACTCGGAGGAAGTTCACGGAGGATTGTCTCCTGTGGGAGGCACCCCACACTAGAGCAGGGGAAGAGTGTGAGGAGCCCTCCCTCCTTGAGGAGGAACAGCATCAGAGACAATGTGTGATGTGCTGACCCCCATTCGCTGTCCTGCTGCACTGTTCTCAGAGGGAGGAGGTAGAGAATTCAGGAGTGAAATTGAAGGGAGATGTAGGGGGAAGGTGGTTTAAGATTTGGTTTTATGTCTCATTACCCTACTCTGATGTCTCATTACCCTACTCTGATTTTGACTAGTAATAAATGATATTAATTTTCCCAAGTTGAGTCAGTTTTGCCCATGAGAGTAGTTGCTGAGTGATCTCCTTGTCTTTATCTGAACCCACAAGCCTTTTGTCATGGTTTTCTCTCCCTTGTCCAGCTAAGGAGGGGGAGTGATAGAGCAGTCTTTTGGGCAGATGGCATCCAGCCAGGGTCAGCCCACCACTCCACTACTCCACTGCTCTGATTAAGCAGCATGCATAAGAGGGTGAAATAACTGATGGTGAAATTTTCTCAACTGCGTATTTGAGAATATACATGGCCACCAACGAACTCATCCCACTATTATCAGAATAAAAACTAGAAGGAAGAGCTAATAAACCCATTAATTTCCAAGATATATCTTAAAAACATTAATTAATATCATCAGATTCTCACTGATTCCACCCCCAGGTCCTGAGTGTTCAGATGAAGAATACCAGCTCTGGATACTACTGTAGCTGGGGTTGCAGTTCTTCAAAGGTATACCTCAAATAGCAGCCACACTGACAGAGTCACAGGGACATATTCATTGATTGTAAAGGTCAGAACCTAGAAATCATCAGTAAATTTTTCAGCAAAAGCGAGCTAAGATACACTGTCTAAAAGAACACGATCAAGCAATCATATTCTAGCCCCGCAAAGGAGCAACACAATGCATACCGTACACTATTTCTTGAACTTAGCTAAAAAACTTTATTCAAACTTTGCTATAGTGTTGGGTTTTTTTGTTTGTTTGTTTGTTTTTCATTACTTCAGAAACACAGAGGAAGGCAAATTCAAGAGGACAAATTCAAGAGGTTTTACTTGATCTTGTATGATTTTTTCCACAGTTTAATTCAAAAGATGACTAGCTTGCTTCATCAATGCGAGTTCTTCTGAAAGCTGCTAAAAGCATGGGAGGTAAAGTCCCTCATTGTCAATGGAAAGAAACAGAAAACTATTAAGAGCAGGAACTTAAACGTAGGTGCTTTGTAATGTCCCTTGGAAAAGCCACTTTCTGCCCATTGGCTAAAGTTTGGCGATGTGGCTAGCCCCAGACAGACACCTTGCTGAGTAACCAGAGACCATGTCACTAAATAAGCTTTCCTATGTTAAAAATATAAATGTAAGAGAATGAGTTAAACTACAGTCACCTTCCTAAAGTTACATTCAGATTTTAGGTTTATATTTCATTACATTACAGCATTTCAGACATCCAACCAAACTGGTTTAGCTGAATAATGACTAAGAAGGGAATAAGAAGTCTGAATATTACTGCTAGTTCTTAAATTGACTCATTTCATTTCCTAACATCAGCCTTCCTTAGGACAGTGATGTGAGGACTTCACCAATGGAAATTTATATCTATTTTACTGAGAGTCTTTCCAAATACCAGTTTCAAGAATTGTATGGTGGACATCTTGATTTACATCAACTTATACACTAGGAGGCACAATCATCCTTACAGTATATGGAGGCTATTATAAGACCTTTTTGTTGTACAAAATAAGCAAGACACTGTGTATTAAACAGATGCTAAAATATTACTAAGCAATAATAATAAAGTGAAAAACAGAAATTATAACAACAGAATCAAAAAAGGAATGCATACTGCAAGCTATTCACAGAAAAAACAAAAGAGGAAAATGTGAAAACAGGTAGAAGGGAAGCCATTGTCCTTAACTTCTCACCTTGTTATCATCCATAAGTGTTGTGTGACTCAGTCCACATAGGATCTATACACCTATATAAAACTCATCATTTAGGCCCCTCATGGTTAATATTAGTTTGCTCTCTTAGAAGAGATAACAGGAGACCTACAAATTATATTTCAACAGAATAGCACCACTTTAGTGCTTAAATAACAGCACTGCACTGCAGTTAAAACTTCAGAAGACTTCATGCGTCACTGAAAAAGAAGCTTTTGTAGCATCAAACCCATGCTTTTTTCCTTTGCTTGCTTATTAGGTCACTATTCAAAGTAAAATGAAAAAAAAAAATTTCAGTGAATACTTGATACAGCAAAATGATTGCATTTCATGTAATAATGACCTATTTCTGTTTTGATTACAGGAGAGTATGGTATTAGTCTTAATGATATGGGTGAGAAAGGGGAGGTTTCAAGGGTCTGGGGAGAAAATAACTCTCCCCTTAATGCAGCTGAATCAGCACTCCTCAGGCTGCCTACTAGCATCTTGCCCTGCCTTCCCATCCAGTTGCTCCACAACCACCAGTGTTATGCACCCACACCTCATTGCATCAGAACACAGAAAAAACACAAGAATTCAGTACACCACCTTCTCTGAACTCTGGCATTGCCCATTTCTGATGGAGAACAATGGCCCCAGGAACGGGTCAAATAAAAAGGTTTGCTACTTGCCATCTTTCTATTCTTGGGTTGCATGGTGTATCAAACCAAACAGTTCATCAGTTGATGGAACTTTTGGTTAAGGTCATTCTGCACAGGTTTTTCTTTCATGTTCATGTATGTGTGATGAAGAACTTTCAGCATCTGAAGCAGAGGAACAGGCTGCACATTAGTGACTTAATTTTGATACAACAGGAATCTTTCTTGACTTTCTTCTGAGCTGTGTCTGATTGACAATCTCCCGCCTTAGTCAACTGTTCACCTTGATTCCCTCACGCCTCTGTGTTAGCTTAGTCCATTATGACTAAGGGACTCCCATTCTGATATGGTTGTACTCTGCAGTCAATTCTAATAGGAAGTGTTAAATGGAGAATAAAATCCATGCAGCTGCCAACATTTAGCAGCAGAAATAGGCAAGCATTATCTATTAGAAGCATTTGTCTAGTGTTTTGGCAATATATTCCACTATTTCTGTCTAGAAGCCTAATTAAACTATCCAGCTGTTTCTTTCAGAAAAAAGTATGAATGCTCATTACTTGGTGCCACAATTAATTTTCCTTTGACATGCTAACAACACAAGATGTAGAATTTACTTGCAATGTTTGAGCTTTGTCACTTCACATCATGTGGCTAACTGGGTGGCCTGAACAGCCTGCTACTACACTGCAGTCTAAGTCAAGAGCAACACACAGAACATTTTCTGCAAGAGCCATGGCAATTTCTTTATGCTGTAAGATAGAAAACACACTGCATAGGTAGGGAGGTACCTCATTCTTTCTAGTCCCTGCATTTCCAACAACACACACAGAGCAACACACTGCCAGTACTTCCTCCAGCTGAAAAGCCTGTGAAAAACACAGAAGGGATACGCAGTGAGTGCTATTCCTCTCCTATTGTCCTTCTGATTAGAGAGACATAATTATTCACAAAAATTACCTTCCCCTCCACTTTCCTATTCCCTTTAACAGGAAAAAATGAACTTACACCTTCTTTGACATATTGGCCTCTGCTCAGCTGATGTTGCATCAAGCAACATTGTCTCTCAGAAAACAGGAAGAGAATTGGCTTAAGTTAAGAAATGCAGTTACCTCAACAAGAAGAAATCCTATTCTGCTAGACAGCCATACAGTCCTGTAGGATTGTGCCAACCCAGGAACAGAAGACAATCATCACAATTTTGCCATCAATTTAGCAGAGAGAATTCCACCCTTAGAACATTTGTGCAACTATATTTTGGTAAAATACAGTATCAGTTCACTAAAGGAACACACTTTTTCAAATAAACAGTTCTGCAAGCCACAGAATGAAAATAGCTTGTCTGCTCATGGATTTCTGTCTTGGTGAAGAGCATCCACACTGCTTTTTCTAAAGCATGCATTCCAAATCCACACTTTATTTATATATTTTTGCTCCCTTACTCTCCTTTTCCTTATAAATAATCACTAACATTTAATTTGCTATGGAGTACAAACGCTTGTTACTGTATGCAAACATGCTTGTCACCATAAACAGATTCTTTGAATAGGATATATATTTCCTTACAGGCATATATATTTCTTTACAGGCATATATATCATAATGTTGAGCATTACTGCCATGACAAGATGCCTTTAAAATACTGAGACACTGAGGACACCTTATCAATACTGTAACGTACTCAAAAAAAAAACCTTCATGTCTAATACAACCCTTTTGCAATTATTTTGATTGAAACTCTTAAGGGGAGTAATTAAAGGCAATGAATTCTTTGAGAATAAAGCTCTCTTCAGGCTGCAAGTAAAGCTCCAGGGTAGATTGTTTAACCATCTGCTCAAATTGTAGGTTCTTCTTTCTCAGAACATCCAGAGCTGGAAACAGGTCACTGATCAGGTCCATGAAAATTGGAATACCATGTGTCACTATTTTAGGCAAATTGAAATCTCTTAAGGCTCTCATAAGTACCTGGAAAAGGATGGTAAACCGCATATTGCAAGAGCATTAAACCCTTCTCTTTTTAGAATTCTGTTTTTATTCAAAAGCAAAATACAAGAAATGGCTCCTATTCTTCAATGATTTCAAGTGAAGATTCTACCTTAAGATTTCTCCTTGTTTTTTTTTTTTTTTTTCTGAGGAACTAAAGATCCTGAGTATCTGCAATGAAAGTTAATCTCCACATCTTAGAAATGGTACAACTTGGCAAATAAGATAAACATACAGCTGATTAGGAAAACAGGAAATTTAGGAATATACTGAGCTTAATGAATAAGGATTTTTTTTTTTTCAATTTTTTTTTGTTGGATTGCTGTCTGGTGGGTTGTTAAAGAGCAAGCTACACAACCTAAGAGCAGCCTGCTACACGGATTGTCCTGTGTAAAAGGAGTTTAAGACATCCAGGTTATTTGCTATGGCACCAGAGGACTAGAGGTGCCTTTCTTCACAGCATATATACTGGAAGCCATGACAAATCTCTTTTGAAACAGTTTTCATAGGCTAAGATCCTAGTGCCCCAAGGGTATATTGAAAGTCCTAAAAGCCCCAACACTGGACCAATATTTTCAGAGCTCTCTAAACTGCTGTGTATTTTCTGTAGCAGCCAAGAATTTTTGCCAAAAAAAAAAAAAAAAAGATTTAAAAGGAAAAAAAAAAGAACATTCTAGCTTTTGCTTCATAAGTTAATATTATTACTATTATTAATACTGAAGTGGCAAAAAATGGTATAAATGATTATTCTGAAATAAAAAAAAAAAAAAAAAGACTCCAGGACAAAATAATCATTACAGTCTAGGAATCCCTGTTTTGGTAAAACAGGCAATATCAACCTGTTTAGATATACAAAATTTAAATTCATTATCTCTAGAAACATTGCAAGAATGAGCCATGAAAACTCCAGGACATTTAGAGATAACTTCAAAATTATGCAGGCATAAAAATAAAGCTGCTTTTGCTTTCATAATGGTCCTGCTTGCTAGAGTTTCTGGCTTAAGATTGAAGGGTCTTCCAATTTCTTATTCCACTAATAAAACTTAATGTTCAGAATGTCTTGTAAAAAAAATATGCAGTTGGAAATGAGTAAAGAGCATACATATAGGTAAGAACTTATACACCTTCTAAGTTTTGCAACTTGTAGATTTTTATGAAAACTATTATGAATATTAATTCTTTGTAGTATAATAATTATTTTGCAATGCTTTCTATCCATTTTTCAAACAGTCCTCCACTGTGTTTACTGGGGAAAATTTAAAGAAACATTTATCCAAATAGTATATTATTTGTTTTTCAGAATAATTCTTACTGCTATAAGGTTTTTCTCTTATCCAAGAGATAGTTTTATTTCCAGGAGAGGTATGACACAACAGCATAACGTAGGTTGGCCATCATAAACTGATACACAATAAGCAGCAATATACAATTATTTAATGCAAAATCAGCACATTACAAATGTCTCAAGTTCAGAGGAAAGGCACTTACTTCTATATTCATATCTGATAATTTAATAAGGATGGACATGTAATTTAAAGTGCCTTCAAAATAAAAGGTAAGACTATATACATAATCCCCCCTATTATTCTACAATATCCCAGCTGCACTGGTATGTGTTAATTAACACATATAAAGCCCAGAAGCCCAAAGAGACCCTCACCTGTTTAGAAAGCAACTCCCTGCAGAGAGTATAGAAGGTTATAAGCTTCCTGGCTAACAGACATGCATCAATAAACCCTTTAGCAACCAACATATTTTCAGAGATCAGTTCAATGTCAGGGGCAACCATGGCACATGGTTTAAGGAAGAAAAGAAACCCCATAATCCAAAACCACAGATTAGTATTTAAACATGGTAAGAATAAGTCACTTAAAAGAAATGACTGTGTGCAAACATTTTTAAAAACAGAGCTTGAGAGAGTCACAAGTAAGAGTGTCAGTCAAAGCTAACAAGGACCTTACTTCAAAGCAAATGGAGCTAATTAGGCACTGCTGATTGTTAGTATTCAGTAACATTACTGCACGCAAAGGAGGCAGCTGAGAAACACAGGGCTTGCAAGACAGGTACTACCAAAACTTAGAGCAGGCACCATCTGCAGCAGCATCACTTGCCAGTGACAACTGGAGTTCATGGCCAGCAGCAGAACAGGGTCTAGAAGTCAAGTGCAATACCCTGCCATTGCTAAAAATACCATTGTTTCTTAACAGACTTCAGTTTTTGGAGGGCTTTAAAGCTTTTATATGACATTACAGTTGTCTTTGGAGGCTTCACTCTTTCTTTTTTAAATATAACCTTCAATTCAAACTTTTAGAACAGAGCCACAACCATTTTAATGAGATGATAAATGAAAAAATCTCCAGTTAAAAAAGTATCGCAAAGCAATAATGCAAAGGCTAAACAATTTCTTCATTAAAAATCACTACTTAAGTTACACAGTGGCAAAGAAGAGATCTTGAATTGTGTGTTCAGGTCAGCTACAAAACAGCAATTTGTCCTGCAGAGTACTTTTCTTACTACTGACAAATACAAAGGTTTCTTTTGTTCCCTATCCATATTTAAATATGACAAAATGTAGAGCAGTGGTTTAGTCCAGCGCTGTATTTCTGGCAGAAATCAGTAACATATAGCCTAGAAAAAGAGTAAGCACTCTGCTGTTAAACTATTTTTAAGTAAACTATTTGCTAAGAAGCATTTTTTCATAAGCCCAAACAAGGGCTGCTATATGCATTGCAGCCAACTATAAAAATTTATATGCTCTCCTACCTACCACAACCCCTTTGTTCAAATAGTACAACTGCTTGCACAAGAAATATCAGGCTAGCAGCACTTAATATGTCTTCTCTCCCTTCTTTAATATATCCCTCTCTCACCTAATAAGGTGGCAAATATGTGGAGTCAATGCTTTACCAGTTACCTCCCACCTTTCCTGTGCACTGTACAATGGATAAGAGCTGTTACAGACTCCAGCTACCTAGCTGAGTTCCTCATTCCCAAATGCAGCAGATCATAGTTTAATTCCAAATGTTTTTTTATTTTATGTGACAACCAAGGTAACACTTTGGTTCTATGTAGCAAGTACATTTTGAACACCATAGTGGAAAGCACAGCAAATAATAATTTGACTGTATCTAGAAGTACAAATATTGTTAAATAATATTATTTCATACCCCTTGCTCTTCATATCCCTTATACCCACTTGGTATGCAGTAGTCCTGCTTTGTCTTGAAGACTTCTTAGATGGCAGCTAATGAGAAGGCTTGGTAAAGCAACAGCTAAGTTGTGAAATACTATAACAACCACCACCACCAAAAAACAGTTACGGGGAAGCAGGATCTCCTTCCATTTGCTGAGACCCAGATATGGGATCTGACTCAGCAACAGTCTTTGTGGAGGCCCAGGAATTCAAATCTTAACCTCCCCCTTGTAAACAGATGTTATTTAAGTGCTTGTTACAAATCACTGCAATTTAGGCTTAAAGAATAAGAAAGCTAATTGCTGCTACTGCTTGGTCCTGCCATCTGACACAGGATGTTTGGTTGGCAAGGGGATGAGATGTGTCTGGCAAAAGATGAAACAGCTTCCTAACTTCAGCAGACTTCATGCCTTTCTGCAGTGAAATCATGAAGGAGTCTGGTGTCAGGAATTCCATGGCTAAAGCAGAAATAATAAAATACACCAAAATCTTGATGCAGTTTTAATACAGAAGGAAGTAGTACCTGTGTTTCAACCTGCTCACAGAAGTAACAGTGATGCCTGGTTCTCCTCTAAGTTTCTATCTTTTACATATCAAAGGGATTTACTACTCAGAGAAGCATATCCTAGATAGCATATCTATATTTGCACCTCTTCAGACAGTGTGGCAATGCCTTGCAACTTGCCCCATTGAACTTCAGTATGCTGAAAAATGAAATCACAGAATAATTTTTTTTTTCTCAAGTCTTGATTTAATCAGTGAAAAGTGTTAATGCAAGAGCAAGAATTTCAAGCAACAACTTTTTTTAAGCAAGCCATGCAGCTCCAACGCTTTGTTGGAATAAATTGGCATCATTTTACTGCCCAGCCTACTGGAGTAACTGCTTGTGGAATTAATACACTCTCAGAAACACCATTTTAATACAAACCCACCGAGCACAGGATGCAAAATTCAGTCAGGTCTTTTAAATTCAAAACTTTCTTTTTTTCAAACATTACTGTTATGATATAAAGCATAAATATGTACTTTAAGAAAAAGATAATGGGATACAGTGTCCAAAAGCATACGAATTTTTCTTCTTCTGAACAATCACATATTCAGTATCTTACTAAGTAAGAGTGTGCGGCTTCTTTTCAACTGGTAGTTATGAAACATGTATGAACACTTGCATACCTACACCCATGAAAGTATGTAATAGCTAGACAATTTTCAAATGGTCTTTCTACTAAGCTAAGCCAGCTTTAAGGATTCCTATTTAGCACAAAACAGTGAATATTCTTGCACATATTGAGGTACATTCCATGTGTTCACAGATACTTATAAAACAAAGTAGATTAAACAAAAAAGCAAGTTATACATTTAACTTCCTTTCTCATTACACTGCCTAGGCGGGCACAATGTGAATACTGATTTTCTTCACAGAAATCCTGAAGGAAACAGAAATTGCACTTCACTGCAAAGCAAGGTTAGTAACATTAGGTGGGAAAGGTACTATAAATGTAGACTTGATATACTAGTATATCATAAATGTACACTATAACATACTTGCCAGAACAGAACTTTGAGGTTTTCAGGTACTTCTGTCCAACCTACGTATCTTGGGTTCATGGTAATAAATATTGCAGCTGATGACTTTAATGTCATGTTTTCACCAAGGAATAAAAATCCATTAGAAGAAAGGTAACACAAAAATTTTACCTGTGGATTAGATGTAAACAACTGTATCCTACAAAGGCAGCTATTGGGGTTGCAGATGACAAAGGTGCATCTGGGCCTCGATCCTGTCCCTCACAACAGCCAAAAGCAAATAAAGTTTATTAGAGCTGATCAAATAGAAGCATTTCCCTGGTAGGCACCAGCTTTTAGTAATCTGTGACTGCTCTGTACAGCACTGAATTTGGAAGGAAAAGACTGGGCTGTTAGAGCAACAAAGAGTGCACATGGCTGAAGTACGTCTATAGGAGGAATTATCTATTGAAACATGTAAAATAAATGGGAATGGGAAGGATGTGGTGGGTGGTCTTGAAAAGGCCAGAAGACAGCACTAAATAAAGGGAGCAGTGGAAGGAAAATACAAGGCGTGTCTAAAAAGCACTGTAAAAAACTAGAAACCCCAGGATATCTTGCAAAGTTGAATCCCATCAAACTTCTCACCCCATATGATACAGTAATTTCACATGGTGGGACTTGAACAGGACCAGAGTTTCAACACTGAAGTTTTAACTGGATTTCTGGAGGGCCAGGAGTTCACTCGCTTGTATTGCTACATTTTGAAGACGAAGTTATTTTAAGGTAGTATATTACGCAGGTGATTCAGTGTTACCAGCTACTCCCTCACTGCACTTACAAACATTTTCAGAGGAACACTGGAAGAAGATCTTACTTGTTCACTATTTATAGCTTGCAAACAACAATAAAGAAGCACTGCTAAAATACTAGTTTCTTTTTCTTGTCCCTAATTGCATCGGGTATAGTCTTATACTGCCACCGACTTCTACCAAGATGTGACAGAATTCAAAGCTCCTGTTGATATTTATAGATATTATAACTTTCATAGATATTCTCTATATCTATGAAAGGGAATCTTTCACTTTATAATATCAAAATTCATAATATCATAATTTCACTTGATAATATCAAAACTGAAAGATTTAGCATTTTTGCTTGAAAGCAACAATTTCCAATGTACTTCACAGGAAAAAGAAACTAAGCACCAATTTCAGTACTGCTCGGCAGAACATCTCTTACCTTGTAAACCATCTGCACAGAACAGTTGAAGATGTATACCATGGTACCAAAGGCACAGCCAAAATCTTTGGTGATCTCTATTTTACCTGTGCTGGCTGGTCCTGCAGGAGCACCACTCATTGTTAGGTAGAGAGACTGAGTTAGAGCAATGTAATACTTTAATGTGAGAAAAGTTATTATTAGCATTGCAAAGCACATCTACAATGTCAGGAGGTTTTTTTCCTCAAGCCTTATGTGTCATGGATGATTTAGTCTGAGTCCACTTTCGCATTATAATTTAATATACTTCTTTCATGTTCATGTAAAATCATGATGTGGCATTAGTTGGGAAATGCTTATTTTAGATACAAAAACCAACCACATCAACATTTTTTTAGCAGGAAGGAATAGCTTATCACTGGTCACACATGACAGGAAACACGAGGCTTTAGTTGCTGCTTTGTCTATTTCAAATACTTGAGCTCCCAGAATTGTTCCCCCAGGACTGCTGTGTGCATCTTTCTGGATCACTGATTTTGACAAGAAATTCCATTCTGGAGCCAGAACATTTCCAGAAAAAGGGAAATGTGATGTGAAAACAAAAAGTAGTGGTTTGGGACTTCAACACATGGAAAAAAAAAAAATTAAGCTACACAAGAAATATCTGTTATTTTAAAATAATGGACACTAAAATCATACCATTACTTAAGTATTCACACCTACATGCACACACATGCTCATATACTGTGACTTAATAACCTCATAAAATAGATGAGGTACAGAAGAACTCTGAACATCAAATAACATGGTGGATGGATGATGGCAGAGCGGTGGATGTGGTCTAACTGACTTCAGCAAAGCATTTGACACAGTCTCCCACAGCATCCTCACAGCTAAATTGAGGAAGTGTGGTCTGGATGATCAGGTAGTGAGGTGGACTGTGAACTGGCTGAAGGAGAGAAGCCAGAGAGTTGTAGTCTATGGGGCTGAGTCTAGTTGGAGGCCTGTAACTAGTGGAGTGCCTCAAGGGTCAGTACTGGGACCAGTATTATTTAATACATTCATCAACGATTTAGATGAGGGAATTGAGTGTACTATCAGCAAGTTTGCTGATGACACTAAGCTGGGAGGAGTGGCTGACACGCCAGAAGGCTGTGCTGCCATCCAGCGAGACCTGGACAGGCTGGAGAGTTGGGCAGGGAATAACTTGATGAAATATAACAAGGGAAAGCTTACAGTCCTGCATCTGGGCAGGAACAACCCCAGGTTCCAGTATAGGTTGGGGAACGACCTGTTAGAGAGCAGTGTAGGGGAGAGGGACCTGGGGGTCCTAGTGGACGACAGGATGACCATGAGCCAACACTGTGCCCTTGTGGCCAAGAAGGCCAATGGCATCCTGGGGTGTATTAGAAGGGCGGTGGTTAGTAGGTCGAGAGAGGTCCTCCTTCACCTCTACTCTGCCCTGGTGAGACCGCATCTGGAATATTGTGTCCAGTTCTGGGCCCCTCAGTTCAAGAAGGACAGGGACCTGCTGGAGAGAGTCCAGCGCAGGGCAACTAAGATGGTTAAGGGAGTGGAGCATCTCCCTTATGAGGAAAGACTGAGGGAGCTGGGTCTCTATAGTTTGGAGAAGAGGAGACTGAGGGGTGACCTTATAAGTGTCTATAAATATATAAAGGGGGAGTGCCACGAGGATGGAGCCAGGCTCTACTCAGTGGCAAACGATGATAGAACAAGGGGTAATGGGTACAAACTGGAACACAAGAGGTTCCACTTAAACTTGAGAAGAAACTTCTTCTCAGTGAGGGTGACAGAACACTGGAACAGGCTGCCCAGGGAGGTTGTGGAGTCTCCTTCCCTGGAGACATTCAAAACCCGCCTGGACACGTTCGTGTGTAACATTATCTAGGTGTTCCTGCTCCGGCAGGGGGATTGGACTAGATCTTTTGAGGTCCCTTCCAATCTCTAGCATACTGTGATCTAAGAAACATTTAACTTTTTATTTAGTGAAACAGATAAAGCAGACATTGTTAT